GTGGCCTGGGCAGAGGTCTGGTTCCAGAAGCACGTTGTAAACCGACTTTTATGTGAACAACTCTAATTTGACAGGACCGATGTATTTTTTCTTTCTTTCTCTGACCTTCCCTAGATAACATGCTCCCCGCTGTATGATTTTCCCCCTTTATCCCCTCTTAAGAATAGCAGTGTCCATATGGCAACATACTGGTCGAGATCTGTCTCTCCACCTGCCCGATGCATACGCTCCCCCAAGTCCATGGTGCGTGGGGGCAGGCAGTCCAGGTTCTCCGGAGAAGGGCTGAGGCAGAGCTGGGCCCCAGTGAAAACCAGAGCCTGGGAGGGGGGTCCCCAAGGCTCAGGAAAGAGCCCGAGCCCCAGCCCCAGAAGGAATGGGCCACTGAGGAGTCTCTAAGCCATGCGCAGCCCTCCTCTTCTACTTTTCAACCACAAAGAGACTTCCCAAATTCTGCATCTCACCGGGACCTCACCGCTGGCCAGATGCGGCCAATCGGTGCTCAATGAGTTTTGCCTCCATACCTGCTGCTTAAACAGGGCTTGCTATCTACATTTTAAGGACAGGCATCACAGAAGTCACCTTCTTGTGGGCCATCAAAGACTCTGGGGACACTGCCCGGGTCCTGAGGGGTTCCTGACATCAGGGTCTACAGTTTACTTGAGGACATGAGCACAGCTCATTCTATCAATAGATGCCGATTAGCACTCATCACATGCTGGGCTTTGTGATGCCTGATCCCCTCTGCAACCTTCAGCCCAGATCATTGTCCAGTTGTTTCTTGGTGGCATTCACCGATGGTGTCCTCACCACCTTCCAGCCGGTTTCTTCCACTGGAAAATTCTCTTTCATGCACAGTATTGGGGAAAACATGAATCCAAACAGATCTGAGCTCAAAGCCAGGTTCTGCTGCTTTCTGAATGGCAATGAGCAAGTCAGTTTACTGATGTGTAAAATGGGAACACTGTAGGGGGGACACAGTGAAGTCAACCAGAACAGCCAAAGTCAGCGCCAGGCTGGCACAGGTGACCAGTGGGGCGATGGTTGGCAGGCCTGGGCAGGAGGGACAACACCCATAACTGGCTTCATTTTCACTGAGAGATAAGCATCAATAGGGTCCCATTTGACAGAGGAGAGAGCCGAGGCCTGGAAGGAGTCCCAGAGTCACATGAGTCCCTCTGGTCCCCCCACTGGGTCCTCAGCCCCCACAGCAGGACCTAGCAAGCAGTCAAAGCTGACAAGAGAGGTGTTGAATGAACAGATGGAACGGAGAGTAAAAGAATGAATGAATGAGTGAATGAATGAACGGTCTCATTTTCAGCACTGATCACCCTGGGTTGCAACCACGGTGGGTGTGTCTGTTGGCATCACTGGTTGTGAACAGTGACCAGAGGTCTGCATCTGCGTACCTGTGCTTCCTTCTAGCCTAGCCCAGAGCCTGTCACATAGCCGCTGTCCAACAAGTGTCCAACAAGTCTGAGCGATGGAAAGAGCCAGTGTGCTTGGTGAAGCTGTCAGTGCTCAAGGGCAAAAACCACAGCCCACACCCGCCGTCTGTTCTGTGAGCACACAGAGAGGGTGGGGGATTGGCTGGGCCTCGGGAGTCTGCACTGACTGGGGACTTGCAGCCACATGCCCTGGATATCAGCAATGGGCCATACAATGGGACTCAGAGGGGCACATTCCAAACACAGGAGCCCTCTGTGCTGGGGTCCTGAGGTTTCCCCACTTCATGGCCTTGGTCCAGGGACTTCTTCCCAAGTGTTGGGGAACCCTGCCACCACTAGATGGCGCCCACAGCACGGGCTGGCCTCAGCGGCTGCCCAGAACCCATCCCTCTGCTGCCGGAAGATCTGGCAGGCCTTCCAAGCCTTTCCCTTCTCCCAGGGAGATCCTCCTGTGGCACCCCATGGCCAGCTGCATAGCCCCTAGGCTGGCACTCAGAAAGAATGCCTCCTCCTGGGGATCTTTGCCTTGCTGTGGAGACAGGAAGTCAGGCAGTGACTGTAGACGGGTGCTGGGTGCCCGCCAGCTTGCAGTACATTGCAGCATCTGCATTACCAGCCTTGGTGCTGAGAGGAGAGGACCAGGGTGTGGCCTCCTGAATATCAAGTGACAGCAGCCCCCTTTCCCCTGTGTCTCAGGCACAGAGAGAATCAGGCCCGGCCCCTGACAAGTCCACTCCTGGCGGGCAGGCAGCATCTCTACCCCACACTCCTGATGCAGGCAGGAAGGCTCCTGGGGGAGGGCGCTTCTCTATTTCCTCTGCCAAGAACACTTCCTAGCAGCCTGAGGACCTGGCAGACAGGCCTGGTGGCTGCTTGTGAGGCTTCCCAGGTTCTGGAGTCACAGCCTGAAAGTGTCCAGGGAGACAGGAAGTCCAGCAGTGGCAGAGAGCTCTGTCCTCTGCCCTGAGGTCCTTCTCCCTGGAGCTGCTTCGGTCTTTACCTCCTTAGCCCAGCTGCATGCTGCTCTGTCTGTGTCCCCAGCAAGGACGGGCATTGTGACAGGCTCTGGTGGGAATCTAAGAGCAGGAGGGATCCATCTTCAGGGTGCACACAGGCACTAACATCAGCACACGCACGCATGTGGACACACACACACACACACACACAGATGCTTGGGGCCCTGTGTGCAGAGCACGTGAAAGGACAGCCAGGCTGCAGCTGGTCGGCGGTCAGCATGGTGCTCTCAGAGGAGGGGCCCTGCTGGAGAGAGGCAGGGAGGGCATCTAAGCCTCAGGAAACTGCGCTGCAGAGGCCTCGAGGTAGGAAGGCAGTGGACGTGAAATCAAGCTGACAGGTGACGAAGGCCAAATCAACATTTGCCGAATTGACTTTCTGGGGTCCTTTATTCTTTGCATCAGTGTTCACGGCACTTATGATGTCCCAGGCGCTGGGGGTCAGATCACACCGCAGCTGACTGCTGGGCCTCCTGGCCAAGCATGCCAGGGTGCACCCTGATCCAGCGGGCACAGCAGCTCCTACATGGTGTTCAGAGAGCTCACAGGCCTCCTGATGCCCAGCACGCAGTGCTTCCCACTGTAGGGAAAAAGCCATGTCCAAGCTGCCCTCTCAGCCAGCAGTCCCCTGGCTTTGCTGTCTCTCCAGGGTTTGCTATTGTTGATAGTCAGGGTGGCTTTCCCATAAGCCTGGCTTTCCCATAAGCTGTGAGTTTCCCAAGTACAGAAAATTCTTAAGTATTTCTTCAAATGCATAAAACTGAAGAGAGGCCATGAGCTAGCTCGGACAACATTTGTTGAGTGAATGAGAGACCTCAGAGGAGCCAAGCATAAAGGGTGTCAAAGTGAGCATGATAGATTCATTTGTGCCTGGGCCTAGACACAGACTGATGCATCTGTCAGCATCTTTGGGTCTATTTCCTTCCGCATGAGAAGACAAATCTGTCTGCATATCAGCCTCCCAACCTGTGGTGCAAGAGTGGAAGGCAGATTTATACATCATACACAGCTGGGCCCCTCTGGTTCTGCCTCACACAGAAGGCCTGGCTACTGCTCTGCTCAGCCCAAAATCTGGGCATCACATCGAGAAGTCCTGGACAGACGCTCCATGGCCTGGGAGTGGGAGGGCTGGTCAGTCATTTTCCTGTCTCTGGGATAAAACCACTTTCAAGCAGGAGAGGTTTAATTTGGCTCACATTTGGGGGGGATTCAGTCCATGGCTGAATCCAGAAGGGTAGAAATGGCAGAAAGCCAAAGAGGCAGGAAGTGGAAGTGCATGGTGGAAGAGAGCTGTTCATTCCATGGCCACCAGGAAGCAGAGAAAAGAGAGGAGTCCAGGACAAGAATACTCCCTTCCAGGCCACACCCCAGGCCCCACCTCCACCCAGGCCCCACCTCCTACCCACAGGGTCAGCTATAAATTTAGCAATGGATCAATCAATCTACTGATAAGCATAGTGTCCCCATGATCCAATGGCCTCTCAAAAGCCCCACCTTTGAACATATGAGACTTTTGAGGGGTATTCTAGATCTGAATTCTAACAGCTTTGTGAAATCCAGCTCTGCTGCCTCACTGTCTGCGTCCTTGGGGGAGTTTCTTCGTCCCCTGAGCATGGTCTCCTCCAGTGCAGAGTGGGAGGCCCAGATGGGATTCAGGGAGGCAGCCAGAGGGGCAGGAAGGTAACTGGACCCCCAAGATCCAGATAGCTTCAGATTCCTGCATCCAGCTCCTAGACCTCTTCCTCTGCAGGTTCTTTGGGCCCAGGAAATTATTTGGGCCTCAATTTCCCTTCCAAGTTCCAGCTGTCACATTTGCCAGAATAAAGAGGAACCTGTTGGCTGAGGGATGGTAATGGGGTTGTTGGGGAGTGGTGTGGGTGGGAAAAATAGAATGGAGGGCCCAGTGCCCTGCATGCAGAATGAAGGCTCCTCTATGCAGGGCTAGTGACGGAGCCCAGTTCCCTTCCCCAGCCCTTTCCTGATGCTCAGAAGGAGAACAAAACCATAACAGGTCATCTGACTGAGCCCAGGTTACTGGGGAGCCACCTGGCTGGGCCAGGTCTGGCGGATTCAGTGGAGGAAAGAGAATGGATCTGCAGAACACAGCAGGAGCCACAGGGCAGGAGCAATGGACTCAGGAGGCTCCCAGCTGCCCAAAGCTCCTTCTTCTGCACCCCAAGGCCACCTCACCTGCTCTGGAGCTGGGGGGATGATCTCAGAAGGAAGGAGACAAGCATGGGCGAGGGTGAACTTGGACCCTAGCACTGAACCAACAGGGAGACTTGGAAAATTTGCCTAACCTCTCTGAACTTTGCACTCCTCCATTCTATTGGGTTTATTGAAAAGAAAAGAGATGTTTGGCTATTGAATGCATGGTAGAAAAATTATGAAATCCTTTGAACACCAAAAGGGAAGGTGACTCTAGGATCCTCCAGGCTCTGAACCCCTGGTCTCTATATCTTCTTTCCCCTCAGGCCCTCTCTCCAGCCCCTGACACCATGGGTGTCACTCCAATGCCACCCGAGGACTCGGCCCCCAGCCTTGAATTCTGCAAGTGGCCATGTGAGTGCCCGCTGTCGCTGCCTCGCTGCCCGCTGGGGGTCAGCCTGGTCACGGATGGCTGTGAATGCTGTAAGATATGTGCCCAGCAGCTGGGGGACAACTGCACCGAGGCCGCCGTCTGCGATCCCCACCGGGGCCTCTACTGCGACTACAGCAGGGACAGCCCGAGGTACGCAATAGGAGTGTGTGCACGTAAGTGAGCGCCTCTACCTTTGACCAGCTCCATGCCCAGCCCTGGGGAGGCGCCTCCCTCAGCACCATGGCCCTTCCCCTGGTCAAGCCTCAGACGGGCAGGAGGAGCATCCTGTCCCAGGCCATGGTGAGAGGCCACAGGCTGGGTCTTTCCAGGGAGATAGCAATGCCTGCTCTCCGCCTCTGGCCTCCAGAGCCTCATTTCTTTCTCACTTCCTGGTCCTGGAGACATAATTTCTGGGGAAGGAGTTTCCACCAGGAAAGAGCTAGGTCTGGTTTTATTCTTTTAGTGGGTAGGTTCCTTTGATGGAGGCCCACAGCCTCCCAGGTGACATGAGGTCACTATGGAACTCCAAATATTTTAGTACTATTGTAAATTTAAATATTTTAAATCTAATAGCTTTGAAAGAATGAAAACCAGCAGCCTGCAACTATCTCTTCCTACCAATCATGTTTTTCTGGTTACTAAGGTCATTTTTTAACTTTTTAGCCCTTTGTACAGTTAGCACTATGTGATACTATCTTCAGCTATGTGTTAATTGGCTTCATATATCAACTTTGGACAATCTATTAATATTCCTATAGGATAGCTGATGACTTAGCTCCTCAATTCCACCCAACACCTCCTCTATCTTCCAAATGTCATCGTGATAATTTTTGGTTTTGCAATTGTTAGTATTTACAATATTGTGACTATGTAAATATTGTTCATTGCAGTATAAAATAGTGTATTTATTTCAATTTCTTTTTTTAAGATGCCTTTTGTTTTTCTTGCAGTTTATAATCAGCTTTCTTTTTCTTTGCTCTTGCTCTTCATAGTATCTTTGTGTTTGGAGGGAAGGTTGGTTTTACCTTCAAGTGCTCCATCCTGACCATGCTGTCCTTTTTTGTTATTGAGACCTCCTTTTGGGGCCGTCTGACCTCCTGCTTCTATCTGGACATATACTTTCTTAGTTCAAATCCTCTAAGCATTACCAAAGTTACATAACATAGCACGATGAAGAGAGATAATAAGGCATCGTGATGCAGCAGCCTAACTTCTGCAAAGTTCCACAAAGTCTCATAAAACAAAGAACTCCCTTCTTCCCTAGTGCTAAACTGAGAATTCCCCCAACTGTGACTTCATACACACTCCATTAGACATTCACGAAGTACAGTGTCTGATGCTCAGCTAACACATATTTCCTGAAGTGGGTTGCTGACGAGGGTTCTGAACATAATTCCAAGTCAGACAACCCCATCTGAGCATCATGGTTAATTTATGCCACTCTCTTCTCTTTTATCATTGGTTCATCTTTCAACATTCACACCAAGTCACGTGTCTTTGGTTTTGCAAGTATTTGCTCTGCTTTACCTATCCTGCAAGCTTTCTCCTTTTACTTAGACTATTACTGGAAAATAATGTATTCCAAGAGAACTTGGAAGATTACCTGCATGGAACCTTCTGATGTGTTGATTGAAACTGTCACTCCCGAGTCCTAGCCAGACTTTCTGCATCAGGTCCTCTGGAAGCAAGGATGGGAAGCTGTACCTTCAGTGAGGTTCCCAGGTGATTGTCATGCATGCTGCAGCTCTAGACCAACTGCTGATACACACTGTCCGTCACTGACCCTTTCTCGTAGCTCAAGTGGGACAACTGGCCCAACCTCACTCCTGGCGCTAGAACCACTCCCGTTAGAGGAGATCATCTCATAATTCTTTCCCATTTGACAGCTGTTCTTCGAGCTCATTCAGTGGTAATTCCATTCACTGTGACTATGCTAACCTCTAAATCTGTACAAGATCTCATCACTTACTGGGCATGGCACCTTTATAGATTCTCTCGTGGATCCAGAGGCTGTCTGTCTGGTTTGCCTGGAAAACCTCCTCCCCATCCTGTCATCCATGTGCCTTTGCAGCTCAGGTTGTGCCTTCACCCCCTACAGCTCTTTAGCTCTTTACCCACCACGAGTCTCTATTTATTTCCATTTATTCAGGAAAACAAACACTGTGGTCTCAAGAAGATTTTAGTGAGTTTTACATGTGCCAAGGGCTCCCTGATCACAGAGTATGCAGTGGGTTGAACTTAAACAGGTGCTTCAGAGCTTCTCAGAGGCTCACAGTGGTCATGTCTACCTGCTGTCATGCTCCAAAAGGCCTATCATGAGGCCTTCTCATTTCAAACTTATTTGAACACTAAATCCTTTTGTCTAGGTACATTCTTCCTCACCCACTTTGACACACACACACACACACACACACACAATTCAAAATTGTTCTACTGAAACTTTTCCTAAAAATACTGACATAGCATCGGAGTTTGTGAGACCCTAGTGCAAGAAAGAAGAGAGGTCAGGATCTGATCTTATAGAGAAGGAGATAACTCTGAGCCAGAGATTAAAGAGAAAGAATCGTCCCCCTAACAGACAACCTTTCTGTGAATGGGTATTCAGCTAATGGACAGTCCCCGGGACAAGCTACATCTGTCTTTGAAAATTTGCAGGTAATTAGGGCAGGACAAGGCAGGTGATAAAAATGACTGATTGCAACTCGGGCACATCTCACTCAGAGAGGTCGGAGCGGGTGGTGGAAAGCTAGCACATACGAGCTCTGGCTATCACAGGCCACCCTCCTGGGGGCCCCTCCACGCTGGCCAAGAACAGTGAGCTTGCTTCTGTCCGGTCCTCTCAGTCTCCAAGAGAATCCAGAAATCTAGACTTGTGCGTGACTTGTAAATGTTGGCAATAAATTTGAAACAGTTTTTTGAAACACTCTGTGGGCCAAACTAAATACATCCAAAGGGCAGGGAGCAAACTCAGTCCGGCTGCGTGGCTATTTCTGCAGCGCAAACATTACATCTAATGCAGCCGGGTCAGGTCTGAGGGCAGAATGGTTTGCTAGAAGGATGGTGACATTTACAGGCACACAGACTGGGCTTTTCAATCTTGGCTCTGGCACTTGCTAGCTACGTGACTGTGAGCACAACCCTCACCCACCCTCGTGTGAGCTGAGCAATAAAGAAGGGAGTACAACTAAACAACAAATCAAAACATGGCGTTCAGTGCTGTGGGTTAGAGTTTTCTTTGTTTTAACTTTCCTTTGCTGAAGTCTTCTCTGCCTTCTGAATTGTCAGCCTCAGAGGAGGGGCAAATCCATTGCCAGGCCCAGTCCCACAGTCTGGTGTCAGGGACCAGTAAACCCAGGCATGGTCTTCCAGGCAACCTGAGTTGGAATCCCTGCATCACGATAATCAGTACCATGACTTGAGGCAAGATGCTCAACCACATAAGCCTCAGTTTCTTCATCGAGGACAGTGTGAGAAATGTCTAGGTTGTCAGGATGCCGAATGCCTGTACACAGTAAGTGCTCAGTAAAGATCAGTAAGTGCTCAGACAGTAACCCACACACATCTATCCAGGCATCCATCCACCCACTGAGTTATTCCCATAGAGAACACAGCTGAGTGACGAGCTCAGGATGGAGGTACAGCAGGGCCTGCCCACTGGCCTGTCCTACTGGGCTGGGCGTCCACAGGTGTGGGCAAAGGGAGTGAAGGCCCCAGGGAAGGGGCAAGTTGCCTTGAGTTCCTGGAAGCCTCTCAGTGAGAGGAAAGCAAGCTAAGCCACACCTGCATGCGAAAGGCAGATGGGCAGGAAGTGGCTGCTTCACTGCCTCACCAGGAACTGGTCCTTTGTTAGGCAGGAGAAAAGTGAATGAGGAGGGACATCGAGCCTGCTCATGGGGCCGTTCACAGCCATCACACACTTACTGCTCCCTGGCCTTTTCGGGGCAGACTTTCCATGGCCAGCGGCTGCCACCCCCACCCCCCAGTCCCCACCCAAGACTCCAAGCAGAGCATGGCATCTTCTAGGCACAGTGCTTCTCGACCTTGGCTGCAAACCAGATTCATCTGGGGATTCAAAAAACACCGAGGCTGAGAAAAGAAAATGCCCTCATGTTCTGGGGCATGGTCTGGGCATCAGATTCTCAAAGGCTCCTCTGCTGGTTCTTCTGAGAATCCCTGAGTCACTGGTTCCAGGTTCCCAATACCATTTCCCTGCTGTCTCCACACATGAGGGTGGAACCAAGGCTTTGCCCTCCCTGGCCTGCCCCTAACCACCAATACACATTTGCATATGCGCAGTGTCACACATGTGCGTGCAGGCACCACACAAACTCACACATCCTCCCCCAGTAAGAGGATGTGGTCAGTGGTGATGCAGAACACACTGCAGTGTGATTTGCTCCTGTTTCCTCCTCTTCAGCTTGCTCTTTCTTTCTTTCCTTTTGCTTTTCCCCATTTCCCTCCTCATCTGATGCCCCATGGAAGGACAGAGCCTGTGGTGTCAGATCCCCTGGGCTGGAGTCCCAGCTCTGTCATTCGCCAGCTTGACAACCTTGAGCAAATGAATCACTTAGCCCCTCAGACCTTCCCTGTCTGCCAAATGAAGACAATAAAACTCTCCTTATGAGGTCCTGGGGGACCTGAGAGAGCTCATGGACCAAGCGGTGCTGGGCATAAGACCAGGTGGTCAGTAGGCACTGGCACCTGCCCTTCTGTACCTCCTTCTGGGCTAGCTCCGCTCCAGGATGAACAATAGCTGGACCAAGGTGCATGCACGCTGCCCCCGGCCACTCACTGTGGTCACATCGGATGACCACACTTGACTTCACCTTGCTGAGCTTTAGTTTTGCATATGAAGGTGATAAGGGATTTCCATCTAGAATGAGATAAGCACTAAGAATGATGCAGAGGAGTCCCTGAGAAGTAGTAGGGACAACCTGCACTCCTGACAGATTTTAGGGTGAAAGTTAGGAATCACCTCTGTGGGCAAATCCAGAGGGCAGGGCAGAACTACAGGCAGACTGAAGATCCCGAACTGCCCCTCCTCTGGCTGGGCACCTTGCTGCCCAGAGGCTGTCTGTGCCTCCAGGTGCTCTGTTTATGATACCACATGGCATTAAAAGTTACTTATGGCCCAGCAGCCCCCCCAACCCTCCCAGAGACTCCATGTTTACATGAGCACCCCTCAGGGCCACTCGGTGGTTGTCACCCTGGTGTCGCACAGCTAATGATGGGCCCTTGGGTCTGCCTAACCCAAATGCTGCTCCTCGGGTGACAGCATTGCTCCCCTCCTGCAGAGCCAGGAGTCCTTTACCCTTCGACCCTCCATCGCAAGTCCTGGCAGCTTTCTTCCAAATGCAGTCAGAAGCCAAGCCCTCCATCCATAGCTGTGGGTCCTCCCTGGCCCCAGCTGGGATACCGTGGTGGCCTCCAGATGTTGCCCTTGGCCTCTCTCAGTTATCCTCTACGGCACCAAGAGTATTTTTATGAAGCACAATTCTGTCATTGTTTCAAATTATTACTTAATGAGCACTTGCTTTGTTCCCAGTAAGGTGCTAGGCTCTAACAGCTTTGCATCCCTGAGCCAAGAGGAAGCCATTTTGGCATCACGCCTGCTTCTCTCTTTCCTCCCCTGCCTCTCCCACCTGCAACTGCAACCTTCACACCTGTGATTGGTACCCTCCCCCAGCACCTGGCAGGTTTACTTCCTTTTTCCTGGTCTTTGGGGAGGGGAGCATCCTGATGTCAGTGAGGCTTCCTGCATCTGCCCCCCATTCCCAGCTGCACCCCTGCTCCACTTTTCCTAGACGAGTGTCACCAGTGACTGTCACCATTGACACTCTGTGTGATCGCTTTGGATGTCTTCTCTGTGCCACTCCCACAGCAACACATGCTCCAAGGATGGAGCTGCTACGTCCCAGCACCGGTACCCTAGGTCACTAAGCCCTGAGAGGAGGCCATGTGGGTTTTGGTGTCCTGGCTTGTTTACATGTCTGCCCTCCTTGGAACGTGAGCCCTCTGGGCAGGCATGTGTCAGCACCAGGCTTTGTGCCGAGGACACCCTAGGGAACAAGCTTCCTGGGTGTCTGGCCTGGATGCTGTCCTTGCAGGGCTGCCTAACCAAACGATGGGTGCTGCCTATGTTTGCAGAGGTGGTAGGCGTGGGCTGCGTCTTGGATGGGGTGCGCTACAGCAACGGAGAGTCTTTCCAGCCTAGCTGCAGGTACAACTGCACGTGCATTGGCGGTGCAGTGGGATGCACGCCACTGTGCCTCCGTGCACGCCCTCCGCGTCTCTGGTGCCACCAGCCCCGACGGGTGAGAGTGCCAGGCCAGTGCTGTGAACAGTGGGTGTGTGAAGATGACGCCCGGAGACCTCGACAGACCGTGCTGGGTGACACCGCAGCCCTGGGTAGGTGCAGGCACAGAATCTAGGGGATTACAGAATTCGGGGAACTCTGGTCCCTCTGCATGACTTGGATGCTGAGGCCCAGCATCCAGTCCACATCTCACTAGGTGGGCAGGCTTGGGAAAGCCACACCTCTCTCGGTCCCCATTTCTCATCTGTAGAATGGAAATTTCCTCATCTTCTGTCTATCTTATAAGATCCTCCCAGCATAAAAGGAAGAAGTACTTTGCAAAGAAAAAAAAGGTCACAAGCACACTCTATTATTATCTGTTACAGAGTTTGGGGGTGGAATGGAGGAAGGTGGGCATATGGGTACTTAGGGAGAGGGGCAGGGAGGGAGAAGGTGGCTTCATCCAGGTCCCCCTGATGTGGAGGATAGGTGAGCAGGTGAGGCTTCAGCCAGGTAATCCTGTTTACAGGAAGTCCTGGAAAGAAAAGACAAAGAAAGATTTATTTGTTTCCTCACTGCCTTCTGGAGCCTAGTCCAGTGCAGAACACCTAGCAGGTACCTAATTAATGTTGGACATTTGGCTAGGTGAATGGATGGATGAATAGATGGATGGATGGACAAATGGGTAGATGGATAAGTAGATGGATGGGTGGATGGATGGATTGAAAGATGAGAGAATGGATGGTTAGATGGGTGGTGGATGAGTGGATGGGTGAGAGATGGAAGATGGATAGAAGGAGGATAGATGGCTGAATAGATTGATTAATGGATGGGCTACCAAGGATCTAAACTATAACAGTGGGAGTAGAGACGGTGAGGAAGGGAAAGATGCAAGGGACAGTGCTTGCGTGGGACTGCCGGTGTTGGCATCCCACCTGTGCCTACATGAAATAGAACCAAGCGTGGAGTTGCCTCCTGGAGCACATAGTTCCCTAGGAGAGAAAGCAAGAGGAGCCTACTTGAGGCTAAAGAGATCAAAATGGTGGGACACAGATTGAACTTGTGGCCAGGTATACACAGAGGAGTATCTAATGGGCACAACAGTGGAGGGGAGAGAAGCAGGGAGAGAGCTCTGTGGTCTCCTGTTTGGAGCTGCCGATGGCGACATAGGAATAATACAGTGAGAGAGGGGGCACCTGGGGTAGAGGTGAGGGTGGGCCTGGCCTTTCAGGAGTCCCCAGATGAAGAGGAGATGAGGAGACACCGAGGAAGGTCGGGGGAGGGGGGAATAGGGAGCAGCTGATGCCTTGGAAGACAGAGGGCAGGCACGATGCTAGAGGAAAGTACTTCTCAGGCAAGTGGGCGAGGAGTAGCAAAAAATAGCACAGAGTTTGGGAGCTCAACATGTATGGCTAATTTGAAAACCACTTTAAGTGCATGAGATCACTCAGGGACTGTGTAGAGCTGAGTTTCTAGCCTCGCATGGGTAGCACTCAGGATGTGAGAGTCCGTGAGGCAGCAGCTGCCATGTCCCCTGCAGGATGCTAACAGCACCCTGGCCGCCACTCCCTGCATGCCATTAGCACCACACCCCAAGTGAGACGGTCCCCAAGGTGTGACAGCCTCAACCTCCTCCAGACACCGCCAGATGTGCCTGGGAACAAAATGGCCCTGGCGGAGAAGCAGTCCCCTGTGGAAGGGAAGAGGTGGCAGGGCAGCTGTTCCGTCACAGCCTTCACAGCAGGGCCGCACAAGGGTCACGGGGGCGGGGGGGTGGAGGCGGAGGCGGAGGCCGCCTGTGCATTGTGTGTGGCCCAGTGACCCCACTGTGACCCAGCTCAGGCAGAGCCCCGCAGCCCTGCGGCTTCCCAGGCTGAGGCGGAGGCGACCCAGAAACCAAAGCCTTTCATCCTCCAGACAAACCCCTTTCCTGGCTGGGCCTCAGCCTCCTGGGTGCTACCGCCTAGCTCTGCCTGCCCCGCCGCCCCTGTCCCGAGTGCCCCCCCCTCTCCTGCCTGCAGCCTCGGCCGGCCTCTCTCACTGTTCGCCCCCGCATCTGTTCAGAGTGTGCCCTGCGCTCCTGGGTGTCGCTGGGCTGAGGAAGAGGCACATTTCCCTTCTCCGTGTCCCCTGAGCCTCCTTAGGTCCCTTCTCCCGGTTTCTCTTTCCTTCCCCATTCTTTCCCTTGCTCCCTCTCTATCTTGCTCCCCTTCTCTCTCCTCCTCCTCTCTTCTCTTCTCCTTGCCCTTCCAGCCCTTTCTGTGCCTTCTGCCTCCACCTGCCACTTTCTCTTTCTCTTTCTCTCCCACGTCCCCTGCCTAGGCCCAGATGGAGTTTTCTCCTGTGTACCTGTGCCCTCTTTCTGCAGCCAGTTCTCTGTCTTGCTGGTCCTTATCTGCCTCAGTCCCTCTCTAGCTCAGTAGCATCCGTTTCTAAGATAGCAACTGAATGGCCACCTGCTCCAGATGCTGGACAGGCAGGGTTCCCCAGAGCAGCCTGAGAATAACCCTCAAGCTCACATGGACTCGGGCTCATGGAGGGCCAAGGACGTTGTCTTTTCGGACCTCAGCCCTGGAGGGCCATGTATTGCCAGTCCCTTTGCAGAGAAAGGGCCGGAATCACACAAGTGAGTATGAGCTCCAGACGTACACAGCTTGGAAGCAGCAGTGCTGAGAGTTGAACCCAGGGAGTTGGACACTGATGCCTGGAGTCCCTGATCCACCACACCGCAAGCATCACCATAGTGAAGTGTTAGGTGCTAGAATGTGGGTCCTCACCTTCGAACTCCCCCAAATTACTTTTACCTGTGCAGGGCCAGGGGCAGCATCTCTCTCACCTCTCATTCTCAGCCCCTGTCTTGGTACAGAAACCATCCAGATCCAGAATCTGTGGTCCCACCAACCCAAGGCAGATACTATGGTTCTAACCAGGCGACTGAGACCAGAGTGAGGCATCCAAGATCACACAGCTAGGGATGGAGGAGAGGAGGATTTGAACTCCTGGTCCACCTGTCTCTAAAGATGATTTTCCTTCCATGCACTGTGCTTCCTTTCTTGGTCAGAAAAATATAAGGAGCTTAGAATGTGTCCCTCTGACCCTGGGTGTCGGTGTTGGTTGGTAGCCTGTTTGTCCTCCGAGGGAAAGGACAGCACAGCACCTCCATCTCTCTGTCTCTGTCTCTGTCTCTGGCTGACTGCTCACTCTCTCCTCAAGTGTAGGGGACCCCAGCCTCTTTCCTACAGTGACGGTCAGGCTCAGGGGCGGGTGGTGGCTCAAGTCTCATGGGGACTCTGGTGTCTTTGTACAGCAGCCGTAAGTGACGTGGAACCCTGGCACGGGAACTGTCTACCCTACACCAGCCCATGGAGTCCCTGCTCCACTAGCTGTGGTCTAGGCATCTCCACTCGGGTCTCCAATGCCAATGCCCAGTGCTGGCCTGAGCAGGAAAGCCGCCTGTGCAACCTTCGGCCGTGCGACGTGGACATCCGCCCACACATCAAGGTGGGTCCAGAGTGGACAGAGGCAAGCGCCTGAGACGTGACTGGCAGACAGTCTGGGCTTGGAACTACTCCCGTATGAGGCCACTTGTAAAACGGGATCATTAAAGCTCCTGTGATTCTCAGAGTAATTTGTCACTGGGTCAACGCATTGTGAATTTCACCCCATGAAAGGTTTTGAGGTCCCTATCCTGTTAGAATCAAAGCCACTCCAGAGAGAGCCTGGGGACTCTCCAAACTTTTCTTCTGTAGTGATGCTGAGGGACCTTCACTGACTCCTACCCTCCCAACCAGGCCAGGCCACACCCTTTGGCCCCAGCACTTAGGAAAGCCACCTGGGGTGTCCTGAGGAGCGCGCCACTGGGCCCCTGACAGGTGGAATCAGGTGCCTTCTGCTACTGTAGGCACATGACTGGCCAATCTCTTCCCACTGCTGGGCCTCACATCCCACTGTCACAACGTTTGTATTTATCTCTAAAGTCCCTTCCCACTTTGAGAGTCTCAGGTGATGAAAATAAAGCAGCAGAGGCCCTGCAGGGTGTGTCCCGGTGCTCAGTCAGACCTGAATGAAGCTTCCGTGCTTAACTCAGTGCTCCTCGCTCATGCCTTAGTCGGGACTCACAACAAAAACAGAAAAACCAAGCAAAGCTCAGTTCTGGCTCCCTTTTGGGAGCCCAGGTGATTTCTGGATTGGGCGGAGGGGAGATTTCCCAGCAGACAAGACAGCCAGACTTCCTGCTGTCCTTTTCCAATATCCAGCCTTGCTCCTTGTCCCTGGGAAGAGCTTCCCCATCTTCTCTTGTTGGTCACCTGGATGCATCCCTCCTCTTTCTCCTTCTTTTTCTTCTCTTTGCTTCCTCTTTCTTCCTCTCTGTTTATTTCCCTCATTGTGCTGGCCTTTGTGTGTTCAGAGCTTCCTGCCCAGCAGGTCCTCAGTACATAGTCTGAACTGAGAAGATGAATGGAAAGATATCAACAGCTAGGGAAATGACAGCACAGAATTGTGTTTCTATGATTGTGTGTCCTAACTGGGTTTCATGAATATATACGCTTCATGCCTGGGTCTGCTTTACCCCAGCTCTGTCATTTCTTGTACATAGTAGGCTGCAAGAACCTTAGTTCAACATGTTTAGTAAATGCTTACTATGCACCAGGCATGACATTACAAGAGGTGTTCAAAACATATGGTGCATGTTTAAACTTAAAAAATCATTGCAGTAAAAGAAACATTGCCTTTAGGTCCCCTCAAAATCCTCCCCCCTTTAAAAACACACTTATCCCATCATTCCTGCCACTTTCTGAAGCAGTTCTGCAAGTTCTCTTGTGTGAGTATCTTTATAAAATGTGATTTTAAAAAAATATGGTGAATCCTGCTGCCAAGTGCCATTCCGGGGAAAGACAGGCTCATAAAACACATAATAGTGCATCCTCATCCATCTTATTCATTGAATATGGCTCCTTGCGACTTCTAGCTCTTCCCCAAAGTCAAAATAAGCACAAATGTAAATGCTTTCAATCGATTCAGGACATCAAAACAGGCATGACAGCACAACTAAAGGCACTTACTTCAGAAGACTTCCAGACCTGCTTCAAAAGTAGGAAGAACAGTAGGATAAGTGTGATCTAAGCTAGGAGAAGTACTTCATTAAGAGTTGATGGCAATATGCCTTTCACTGTAATATGTTTTTTGAAAATGTAAACAGTGACCATATTTTTCAATCACACCTCATACATCATAGAAATGCAGAAAGAGCCCCAGGTGGTCCACAACCCCATGGAAGGACAGAGTCACCTTTCAATGATGTCCAGTGTGGTTGAATTGGCTGTGTAGTCCATGTACAAGAGAGGCTGGGGGAAGCACAGGAGGGAAGCTTGGGTGAAGCCTGGCCCTACTGTGCACCCCCCATGCCAGCCCTGCCACTGACTAGCTGTGGAGCCCGCTGGCTGAAAGAGCTACCGAGGTTCCCCATGTTGGCAAAACTGTGACAAGTGGGCATTGGCAAGGCAAAAACTCAGGAGAGGACGGAGACTGTAGGCTGTGAGATCCAACCTTAGCAAAGCAATTGCTGGGTGATCCTCATTTTAAGCCTGTGCAATGTGACTGGGTCTCTATTGTTTGTGCATGCTCTTCCTTACTCAAAGATGCTGGGAATCTTAGAGTAAGACAAAGCACACAGTGAGTGACAAGGGTTGCGGGAAGGTGGTGTGGTCCATGCCCTGAACATCTCAACCAAGAGCTCCTTTCATTTCCTGCAGGAAGGGAAGAAGTGTCTGGCTGTGTTCCAGCCAGAGGCGCCCATGAACTTCACTCTTGCGGGCTGCGTCAGCACCCGCACCTACCGACCCAAGTACTGTGGAGTGTGCATGGACAACAGGTGCTGCATCCCCTACAAGTCCAAGACCATCGAGGTGTCCTTCCAGTGTCCTGAGGGGCCTGGTTTCTCCCGCAAGGTCCTGTGGATCAATGCTTGCTTCTGCAACCTGACCTGCAGGAATCCTAATGATATCTTTGCTGACTTGGAACTCTACCCTGAGATCTCAGAAATTGCCAACTAGTGGGGTGCAAATCATGGGGTTCAGGACCTGGCTAAATGCTCTAAACCAGCCAGCACTCTGAGGCCAATAACGTCACAATTGAGCCTTCTTTGGTCTAGTGCTTACCCACTTCTAAAAACTCCGATCTGGACCTTCAGCCTTCTGTCCTGTCTTCCACCACCTAGATGATCCATGATGGTGCTGCTCAGGTCCAAACAATAGGTGCCCCTGTGGGTGGTATTTTGCATCACACCAAAGAAAGTGCTGGTTTCTAGCTGTTTGGATGAAAGCAATCTCACCCTTGCTGAGTCATTGGAAGGCCTGCTGGATCTTGTCCAGGTCCCAAGGAGTGGACCCAGCTAGATAATCCAGTATCACAGATTCTTTCTCTAGTGGCCAACTCCAAGGAGCCCTTAGGTCCATATAGGAGGACGGATGGGATTGGGGACAATGGAAGCTTTTACCTGGGCCCTTTCACATAGTATTCTGAAGGGCATTTCTGTCCGTAGTACATAAAAGGAGCTTTGATTCCAGATTTCTGTACCACAGCAACACCAGACATTTGTCAAGTGAGGTGAATAGTTGTTTGGTTTTGATGCTCAGTGAAGAGTTGTATTTGTCAACCTGGACATTGCTGAGGTTCAATTTATTTTCACTCCTGCACTGAGAAGGATTCAAACTGGGTTCATCTCAGTCAGAAATGTGATTTGAGAAATTTTACTTTTGTCCATGGGGGAAGCGCCCAGTCAATAGTGCAGGGTCACAGCAAGGTCAGCCAGTTTCAGAAGCATAACGGACCAAGGAACTCATCGGCTGCTGACTGGCATTTTCATGGGCACTGGCCGGGATCTTCCTTGCATACTGACCCTCTTTCTGCCCAGGGCACTTTGAAACTGGTGGAGCCCCCTTTGTGCCCGACAGTGGTGTCCTAGAAGGTACTTCTCTCTTACGGTCCTTGATATCCTCTGAAGAGTCCTCTGAAGTCCAAACCAGACCTATTGGGTCAGGTATGGGTCAAACCAAGAACGGGTCCACACTGCATTAGCCTGAGGTGGCTTCTAGGGAGGGAGGTTGTAAGACCATGAGGTCCCTGAACCCAGGACTCATCTCTTTATGATGCAGGGACCTACTTCATACACCTTGGGTTGGCGGATCAAAACAATTCAATTTTCTGGTCTGAAGACAGAAGCTGAGCAGTTGCTTAGATATGGAAATACATTCAATAGAGGTAAAAGCCAAAAAAGAATTGAAAGCTAACAACAAAAAAAGAGAAGGTAGTTATAAATGGAAATGAAACTCTTATTTATTTCATTACTAGGATATGTTACTGTCATAGTCTTTGATTCATTATCTTCTCTGTACATGGTTCTCCGTGCTTTCCATACACTTGCTTATTGAATCTTCATGATAATATTGAGAAGTTCTCGTTATCATTTCTAGTCTTACAAATGTGAAATGGAAGCTCAGAAATGCAAAGAAAAACTTGACTGGAGCCACCCACCTGGTAAACGAGGGAACTGGAATTCAAGTCCAAATGGGACTGACCTCATAATTCATATTTTTCCTGAGCTTTCAAATGTGCTGGAATAGCCAAACAGTGAAATAAGCAACTTCTTGCTATTATTTTTTGCTTTTATTATTGTCTTTCTAGATTTTATTCCAAAAGAAGTGTCTGATTTTCCAATGACTTAGGCACTTAAGCATCCCCCAAAAGTAGGATAGACAAAAATTATGCATTCCTTAAGATTATCCCCTCCTTCAAATAAGAACCACCTCGGATCATGCATTTATAAGTGATTGCATTTACTCAGCACTGTGTACTGGGCTGATATGCAGTTACTCATGAGGAAATTGCATGCAGCCTGCAGAGGGTTTCTTCAACAGAAAAAGGAATCAGGAATTTGCCCTCCTTACTCTGACCTCCCAAAGGCCTAGCACAGTGCAAGGCATTCAGTGGTGCTCAATATGTATTTGAAAAATAAAATAAGTTGTACATATGTTTCTACCTTTATTTAGAAGCTCTCTTCTTGAAGTTGTGTTAAAATCTAATTTTTATCAGTGAAAATCTTATATTAAGCACCATAGAAGCAACAATATTTTAAAGAAATGTATATTCGTGTATGTACAAAAATTCTCATGTAAAGAGAACTTACTCCATCCATCATCTCTGTTGAGTCTTGTTGGATTTTCTTGGAAGAGAAATACCTACCATCTACAAGGCTAGATAACAGCTAACCCCATATGAGATTCGGAAGAACTCCAAGAGTCAGGTTCTAAATAATTTTTTTTTCCCACTTGGGAAACTGAGCATAGCTTCCAAGAGCTTAGGAAACCTGGCTGGAGGAGTTGGGGGGTTATCTTGGAATAGCAAGACGGGGTGGCCAGTGTCATTAAGTTACTGCTGGTTTTGAGAAGTGGATCTGACCCATGCAGGTCCAAAGAGAATATCTTTGAACAATGTGTTGAAGTCATACGGAAGGGTACTTAGGCCCTTCCTTGAACAAGCTCTTTCTAATAGAATTATGCTGCCATGATGAGTGCCCCAACACAAGAAACATTAAGAATGATGATACTGAAACTCGTTTCCATTTATTGAGTCTTTAGCTAGTGCCAACCACTATGCTATATTTTGCATTATCTCTCCATGTATTGCACCCATGTTGACTACACATGCCTTCCCTTTTCTATATGGAAACTCTGAGATTTGAAGGGACTGAGAATTTGGGACTCAAATCCAAGCTCAATTTATTCTACCTTGCCCTTGGGGTGGCCCTCAGGTAGAACCTGGATGACTCCTCTGAGACTGTCTCTGGCAAGGCTTCAAAGAGACCAAGGACTTGGGCTCCCTTGAGACTCTGTTCTGGGATGAAGGAGAGGCTCGCTATGGATTATTTAATCTTCAGAGAAAAAAATTCATGCTCACACCATCAGCAAATTTCCCTCGGGTACTTAGCTGAGAGAGGAAGGGAGTCCTGAACTCACTAAACCACTGATTTCTGCTAAACCCTGTGATAAGGGTTCAGGGGCCTTTGGCCCATGCCAGGCCTGCTGCTAGGAGCTTTATTGCCATATCTCATTTCAGCTTCACAGTGAACCCAGGACATGTGGCATTATCATGGTCCTTAGAGAGAAGATAGCTGAGTCTCACAGAATCAAGTAATTTGCTTGAAGTCTTATCAGCCAGAGAAGACCAGACCAGAACAGCAAACCTATCTGACACCTGAGCCATCTCTCCTGGGACTAAGCCTAGTTATCCTGCCCCTGAATCACAGGAAGACTTTACAGGAAATGTTTCATTGACAATAGCTTCAATTTCAGTTTTGAAGGCAATTTGGAGAGTGATTAAAAAAAGTAGATTCAAATAGCATGATTGTCTATACTCTGATATAATCGTACGTATGTGTAAGGATTGTGGAGAAGTAATGCATCCTGGGACTCTTATGTTGAATGATATCACTGCTTTTTAAGGACTTGTTTTGATCCAAAATAATCACAATGATAGCCCTGCATAGCTGGGAATCATGAATGGTCATAACAATTAATTAGGTATTCCCACACAACATATGTGTGTATGTATATGTATGTATGTATCTATTTTCAAAATGTGACTTAATATTTAAATATTCCTAATGCCATTTTTGTAAGTGACCAAATGATCCATATGAAGAAATGCCTTAGAATTTCCCATTAGAGGGAAAAGAGCTCTTGGGAAATCTGTCATGTTTTACAGTATTTCTCATTTTTCTCATGATTTGTGTAGCATAGAACATATTGTTGAACGTGAAGGATTTTTATTGCTCAAATTCTTTGTTTACAGCTTTTCTCTTTGAAGCAATAAATCATCAGCAAAGTAACTTAGTGGATTAGGTGGATTTTCTTGGGTATTCAGTTATGAGGCAAAGATGGGGCACTTAACACATTCAATCAATGCTTTGAGGGTGGGACATGCGTTTCAGATATTTATAGAGAGAGATAAAAAATAATTTAATAGTTTGGAAATGTGCTTAGGAATATAAATTCTGGAATCCAGAAAAGACCAGAGCCCCTGATGTATTCAGGCTCAGTGACACCTCCTCAATACCAGAGGCAATGTTTACCATTCACTCAGTTACTCATTTATTCAATGATTTTCTATATCCTCAACTAGTCTAGTTACCCTGGGGTCAGGGACCATGATGCATAGCACAGCCCCTGACACATGCAGGGGCTGAGGAAGCAGGAGTGGGTGGACGGACAGACTCTCTCCCCAGCTACCTGAGGAGCCAAGGGGCACAGGGAAGAGGTAGGGGCTTCGCTATACAAGGAAAAAGGCCTGACAGTGGGCTCCAGTGCATTTGAATGTACTTTACTCTTATTTGAGTTCCTCACTAGGTCATCTGGGCCTCAGTATCCTCAATGGTGAAATGCACAAAATGATTGTATCTACCCCTTGGGAGGATGTACATTAATACAAAATTTTAAAATAGAGCTCAAAACCTAGAAAACCCTCAATAAACTCATCTATTCTTAGCTGAGTCTGTTTCATCAGACACTTGGGGCAATCAACCAGGCTATAGTAAGGATTGCTGCCAATGTGTGTGTCTACACATTTAAATTATTTACTCTTTGGTAGATATAAAGTATCCTCAATATCAGTTGAGTGCTCTTTTATTTTAATCATAGGCCACTTAGTCACTGTGTCGGGCAACTTTCCCATTGCTAGTACACAGTCCCCAAAACCTGCAACTTAAAGGAGCAGAGGCCTAATTTGGTTCCTTGTTCAGGGGATTCAGTCCATGGTAATCTGAGTCAAAGGCAGAAACATCACGGTGGAAGGGCCTGGCAGAGGGAAGCTGCTAGTCTCATGGCCAGGAAGCAGAGAGAGAGGGAGGAGCTGGGGAAGGAGACAGGCCCTCCAGTGCTGACATGCCTCTTTCAATCAGGCCCCACCTCTTCACAGGGCATTCAGCCGTGAGCTCATCAGCGGATCGGTCCACTGAGGAGTGTAGTGGTCCCACAATTCAATCACCTTCCAAAAGCCCCACTTCTGAACACATGAGATTTTGAGAGAAGATTCTAGATAGAAACCATAACAGTTTCTTTTAAAAAAAAAAAACTGTAACTTTGGAGCTTGGTTAAAGTTCAGTGGCTGAGGGTGAGAGAGAAGGCCGCATTCCAGGTTGAGACTCTGAAAATAACCCATTCCTGCCTCTGTTGCTAGCCTTGCACTGTGCAGAGGAGAATTTTCAGTTGTGATTTTTCAAAATCTAGGTTTGGATTCTTGGAGCAGCTGAATTGCTATTGCTCAGCTCTCTATTTTCCAGCACTGGGGATTAGAAGGCTTCTGATCCTCAACAAGTTCTTGCTGTCCTCATGGCTTCCGGTCAGAGGAGTCAATCCTGTGAGGGTTCAGTCTCCTCGCAGGATGCACACTTCTCTCACATCCTGCAAAATGTGCTCCTAAATGCCAAGTTATGTAAGTTGGTGTCATTTCTGCTCCACAAGTATCAAAAGAAGGAGCAGGTGACCATGAAAGAAATGCGGCATGTTCTGCCCCACGATTACCGTCACAACTTCCCTCTGAACTTTTGGGAACTCTGTGAGTCCATGTATCTGGGCTTTGGCATTAAAATCACGAAAGTGAATCACTCTGGCAATACATATGAGCTAGTCCCCATTTTGCGTCTTACATATAGTGGGATACTAGGTGGCGATGATGAAAGAATCATTCTCAAAATCAACATCATTATATTCGTCCTGTCTTTAATCTTCATAGAGGGCCACTGTATCAGTGAGGAGGACCTAACTGAAAAAGTGAAAAGATGGGACATGTTAGCTCAGTCTGAGCATATTCATTTTGAGGAAGCCTGGAAATTCATCACTGAGGATTTAGTACAGGAAGAGTACCTGATGTACCGGCAGATTCCTAACAGTGATCCTGCTCGCTATGAGTTCCTGTGGGGTCCAAGGCCCCACGCTGAAACCAGCAAGATGAATGGAACAGGTCCCAAGTCTTACCCAGAACTATATGAAGAGGCTTTGGGAGCAGAACTAGGTATACAGCCAGGGTTCCTGAGAAACAGGGGATATTGCACAAGGGTCTCAGTGAATTTGTTCTCCCCTGAGGAGAAATGAGGCCCATTTTCAGTCTCTGTGGAGAGCAGGCAGTTTTCTAAGTAGTGAAGGGCCAGGGGAGGGGTCAAATAGCACACATAACATCTTGCTGTCTCTTCTACTTGGGTTACTTGGAAATGGACAGGGGTTTTCTTTATGGTTTTTTGAAGTATTGGTCCTTTTGGGGGAGACTGAAGTAGCTTGCGTATTTAGTGAATGGTATTGATCTCCTGTGTATTTTTAATTTGTGATGTTGATGTTTGTGTTTTCTGATGGGAATGTGATTTTGTGTGACATTGATCACAAATGGAGTGCCTTTTCCATTCAAATGTAACAGTCTTTCCTGTTTTATCATAGAAACAGAAAAACTATTTAATTATTTATGATAAAATGGGACTGGAATAGGAATTTCCTTGAAAATTGTAAGTTTACATCTAGTTAGAGGGACCCTAGAAAAAGTGATAAGGATGAAAATCAAATATTGGCTGCTGCTTATTTCTTTTCCCCTGTTGATGTATACTATGAAACTTATATTTATTGCATACCTGAAAAAAATACTGTAACTTTACTTACAGCCCAGCTTAGGGCAGAAAGAACATGCTACTCTTCTCTGTGTCTCCCACACCCAGCCCAGCAAGAGCACATGCTCAGCTGTGTGAGCAGATATGCAGGTGGCTGGGACCGATGCAATGAATGACCCTTTTGATCCGTTCTGGCCAGATCCCACATAGTTCCGAAACACATGATGATATCATAGTAAAGGTCAAGGGGAGGCTTGATTCCACTAACAAAATTTGTCTCATGAACTGTTTCCAAGAATACTTTTATCCCAAAAGGTAATTGTTTTCAGTATTGAAAGCTGGATCATGGAGTGATATAAGTGCCTCAAATTAAGAGAAATGTGTAGATTTTGAGAGATATTTCCAAAGATATCAGGTGTCTGAAGTTTTGGGAAAATGGGATTTGGAAATATAGCCAGAGTGTTTTATTATAAAAAGTAGAGAGGTGGCCAGGTCTAATCGCACACAGCTGTAGTCCCCACCACTCACTAAGTTGAGGCAGGAAATCTCTTGAGCTAAGAGATTTGAGGCTACCCTGAGGAACACAGTGAGACTCCATCTCTAAAAATGTACATAGTGAACATGTCAGGATTTCTCGTTGTCTCCTCTCACACAACAAAAATGCAGAGGTTTCCTCTGTTGTCAGAAACCCAACTACTACCTGAGTTTGGATTCTCTCTGAATGTAGAGCTGAGTGAAGGAGACTTGTAAGGAGAAGAGAGAGCGGCCATAAAACCCACGTGCTGTCTCGAACATTCTGTACAGAATGTCTCTGGATCTCCACTCTGAGGCTCCTTACCCTTGATTTTTACATAATACTGCCAATGTAGACTTACCAGACTGTCGCATAAAAAGGGAGAGGGAGGTGGAAGAAGCAAGGCTATGGGCAACAGTGAAACAAACAATCTCAGCCTACCAGCCAAGAAGAGGGGGAAGATTAAAAACGCGATGAAAAGCATCATAAAAGCAGGTTGACTGGGTCTGTGTAGATTGCTCAGTGGAGGAACAGATGCACCCCAAGCCACTAACACCTTGCAGGCATCACATCTTAGTCTGGAGAGCTCACTGGTCCGCAACCCTGAGATCTCCACTGGTGTCGGCATGTGCTCAGCAAATGGTTTTAACAGGCAACAAGGGATGTGACCCAGTTTAGAAATGGCTAGGCAAGCTGTTTAATCTCTGAGCTTTGTTTTCCTTATCTGTGAAGCAAGACACATCTTCCTGACAATGGATAAGGAGATGCTATAATGCATACTCAGTATTCCTATTAGTAGAGGAAGTGTCTGTCTGCTTGTTTATCAAAATTCTCCTGTTAGTGTGATTCTGGGCTAACCCTGAAGAACTCACTAGCTGGTGCAGTGAAGGATACATACAGTGGCCTGCATGGCAAATGCTGCAGGTGTCATTTCTCTTGCCTCCTGGGAAGGACTGGGCATTTGGGAAATGCTTCTCAGAGACAGGATGAGGAAGCGATGCTCTGCAGTAGTGAGCCCAGCTGCAGGACATTTGCTTGTGTACGAAGGACACATCAACTTCACTTCCACTTCCTCAGAGCCCCTGCTACTGCAGATGAGGGGTAGGAGTGGTGGGACTTGAGCCCAGGTATAGCTGATTGGACATCTGAGCCAAACTCGACCAGTTAAATTCCTCTACTTAAAAGACACAAAGCAGGCCAGGGATTTAGCTCAGTGCTTCTGCCGCCTGCTTTGCAAGCGCAAGGTCCCAAGTTTGATCCTCTGTACAAACAAAACAAAACACAAAGCTTTGATTGGTTTTGGGTTCAAGAATGGAAAGGTCAGGTAGCCCTTTGGTTGGGGCTAGCAGCATTTTATGCTTCAGAGTTGCAGAGAAATCTGACCCAAGAAAGGAGGCTGATCTGTTTGCTCAGACCCCTCCCCCACTACTATTTCCAACTCAAGGCTTCAGCTCCTAGGTTCCCAGGGGCACCAGGGAAGGGCTTCCACGAAGCCTAAGAAGCTCCAGACAAATACATGAGCAGATGGACTTCCATCTAGGGACCAATGCAGTGACTCACGGCAAGCTGTGTCTGAGAAGAAGCTATGAGGAAGCGGTTGCAGGAGACTCAGACCCTGCTTCAGCCTGAGCCTAGTGCATGCTTCCTCTCCCAACTGCTTCTAAAATGCAAGGTTGGGGATGTGAAACCAAAAGGAGCAGCTAGAGCAAAAGTAGATCTGTAGCTGGCAAAACAGTGTCTGGGCACCCCACCTGCCAAAAGCATCCAACCGGGCAAATATCCAAGCTGTTCCTGGGTTTCCAAGCCTGATCCAGCAAGCCCAATGGTCTTTGGGCTACCCCACTCCCCAAGGTGGACTGAGACAGCCCATTGCCCTCTACCAGACCCAAAGCAGGAAAGAAGGGCACTATCTGTGAACCAGTGTGCTTCCTGCCCCACTTGGGAAGCAGAGCTTCTTAATGAGAGCTCTTTGGACCCTCCGGCACATAGACTCTAATGGCCCTGTCCCAGGAGGAGGCAAAATGCATCTTCGTTTCCACTAGCCTCTAGTTGCAATTTAGCATTCACCTCTCTATAAACATAGGCAATAAATCCCAACAACATTGCGAGCTGTGGTCACAGGCAGGGGCTTGTCACAGCTGAGGGGGCTGTCTCAAAGCATGCTGGCCATTACTTGGAAATTGCAGTCACACTGGGACCTGCCTCAACCTTCTATTTAACTTATTACTAAGGAAGTGTGACATCATCACACAATTGCAACATTTGAGTAATTATACTTCAATGTGCCTGATTCGCTTTCTTACGATAATTCTATGGATTTTATCTTATTCATTTAAACTCTTTGGAAGTGGGTAAGAAGGCTTCTCTTTTTTTTTTTTTTTTTTTGGTACCGGGGATTGAACTCGGGTGCTTGCACTTGCGAGGCAGCCAGCAGAACCACAAGAAGGCTTCTCTTACTTACCAAAGAGGCCCGAAAAAGGCCACCTTCTCCTTGGACTTAGCTGGGACAAGGGACAGAATTGTGGTGTCCAGCCCTTCCCCAAGACCACCCCACTGGCTTCACTTCCTGTCCTGGACAATATAGCAAGTCACTAGCTCAGGTGTACACTGCACGCTCCTCACACACACGTAGCTCATCCACCCTCTGTGCTGGCGCCCAAGAGGGCACCCTTTATGGGGCACCTCCTCACCCTTCTGTGCAGGGTCAATACCCTGGGCTATTCCAAGCCTATTTCCTGGACAGCAGGGTCCATGGATTACAAAAAATATGCTCATTGTTGCATGATGCAGACCTTGGAAGCCTTATATCTCATCATACATAGGTAGCTCTTCAGGAGAGGTGAGAAAAACGACCTTACTTTACATAATGGGGCTGCTGCGGGTTGGGTGACAGTAACTTGCTGGAAAAGTGAAGGAACCACAGGGCAGTTGATAAAGGTCACTCTCACCTGCGATGGGCCATGCTGATACTATGTCCCTCCCTACGAGGTGACAAGGGCTTCATCCCTGTGGGTCTCCTGCCAGCTGAACCATGAGGAAAATCCTACACCACCCTCCCCGAGGGACCTTCTCCAAAATGCCTGGCCAGTGCTTCTCAATACAGCCCAAAAGCAAGGGAAATTTGAAAAAATGCATGGAGAGCATGGAGATGTGAAACTGGACTTGCTGGGGCCTTCTGCAAGGGACCCTGGATAGAAAAAGGACCCTGAAGGGGAACAAGTGAAATCCCAAGAAAATCTGAAGCTCAGGGGACAGGCAAACTTCTCTGTTGTGACAAATGCTCCCCTGTACCCTGTACCATAAGATGTGGAGAACAAGGAACCTGACAGCGGGGCACAGGGGGACTCTCTGTACTACTATGGCAACTGCCCTGTAAATTTTAAGAAGTTTTAACAAAAAGCTAAAATAAAATGGGAAGTTACATAAAGCCTGTTTACATGTTCAAAAATGTCCAGTAGAAAGCAAGCACTACAGTGGTTCTCACTGGGCGTGAGAAAAGCCACGATCATTCCACATATCTTCCTGTAATAAAAACAAAATTTAAAAATAAAGATGATTCCCTCTAATTTCAGAGTGAAAGGCTCTATTCTCTTGTCACTCTGCTGATAAAGGTGCTGGGTCCCTGATGTGCAGCAGAACACATCTGAGATATGCTATGAAGATGAAACACACACTGGGTTTATTAGTACAGAAAAGGGAACGCGTTAAATGTCTAATTGGTAAGTTTGCTAGAAATGGCCATATTTTGGATATCCTGGATATCCTGGGTTAAATGAAATGGATTATTACAATTACTTTTGCCTGTTTCTATTTTTAAATGTGGTGACTAGAACATTTGGTTGTCCGTGTAGCTGACAGCTATATTCCTATAGATCCTGCTGCTCTAAAACAAAGACTTCTGGGGCTGAGGGGCCAGTGATGGGAGCATGGGGGTCAAGGACAATCAACCCCCTCATTAAAGACCCGTCCCCCACCCCACTGTCCACACACAACCCCTCAGGTAGAGGAAAAAGACACAAGCCATTGCAAAGTTACAAATTTATTGGTCTGGAAATAAATACAAATATCTCATTAAGAAACTCCTCTGGAAAGACTTGGACAACAGCTTCTGGTCTGCACTCAGCCACTCTCTCCTGGGTCTCTGAACTTTTCAGCACAAGGTCAGGGGAAGCCTGCCTGCGAGGTGGTAGCTGGCAGGTAAACTGAATGTTTGCCTCTCGGCCACTCAGAAGGCATGACTACTTCCTTGTACCAACTCTGGGGTCCTCGGAATCACCAAACCCCAGTGGCTGTTGCATAGTGTTCGGTTCACTCTGATCAAACTCACTCTAAGAAAATCCAAGGTTAGCCAAAGTGGAAATCAGAAGGCAGTAGTTCAGGAATGCAACAGCTGCGCTGGCATCTTAAGGAGTGTGAGTGGTACTGCCCGGTGAGCAGGAGGAGGTTAGAGGGGCAGGAAGGAAGGCAGGGCAGGGAAAGGCATTCCCATGGACCACAGACCCCGGGAGCCTCACGTTCCCTCAGCCCGTGACCCACATACATTCCCATTCCTCACACGGGAGCAAAAAGGTGTGTCTGAAGACCCACTGATAGTCTTGGGTCAGAGACATCCAGCTATCAAGTTCAAAGTCAACCTCAGAAGAGAACAAGGGGAGCCCAGATTTCACTCAATCACACAAGATTCCTGGGAAACAGGAATGGGTGGGGCCCACTGAAATAATCACCATTAGGTTGGATTCCCTGGAAAGCACTTAGTCTGCTCATCCAGATTCCACTCCTAGCCCCCTTCCCTGCTCCCCTGCACAGAGGCTGCAATGTTTGCCTCCATTTCAAAGAATGCCACTACAGATCTAAGGATCTTCCCATGAAGGAAGCTAATCATTCACTGCAGGATGCAGGCAGGAGGTAGGGGTGGTGGAGGAGGCCAACAGCAGATCTAAAGCCTTAGAACAGCAAGACACCAATGTCTGCCGAAGCCGTCTTTCTGTAAAGCTGGCAGAGCATGCTGCCTGATTTCATGGTACATTAAAAGAGGCCAGAAAAACAGGCACGTGTGCCCTGGCACTCAGAAGTTCATAGAATGGCACCAACTTTAAAAACAGATTTGAAGAAAGTGGACTATGTGGATTTGTTTTTCCAAATGCTTCTAGGTTCCACTTCAATTGCACTCTGTCTTCCCTCTTCCTGTTTTACGTACTTAAAACATGCATCCACACTTCCCTGCTCTGGCCCTCCCCAATTGGAGATGGTTTCCTTTTGGGAACTCAGTCAGCTTGGCTCCAGTTGGAGAGGAAACAGGAAGTAGGTGGGCTGGCAAAAGGCCAGAGCGTCAGGCCGCTGAGCCAGGAGGGGGAAGTGCGTGCCGCTCTGTGCTTCTCGCTTTTGGCAGTTTGGTGTCTCTGAGGGCAGGTAACAGGATGGCAACCAGGCCCCTAATTAATGAAAACAGGACCCTGAGCTGACACTGTCCTTTGGTCCCCTGCCACCTCACCCTCGTTCCACAAGGGGCCCTGGACAGACCCAAGCTGTCAAGGCCAGAGCTCACGCTTTCAAAATAAGCTTTGAATTAATACCACATTAGCGCAGGGTGGCAGGCCTGGGCAGGCAGAACGGGAGGGGAGGCCTCTACAGAGATCTGAGTCCGGGGTGGCCGGCACAGGCCGCTTAGCAGGACACCTCCATGGACTTGGGCCCGGCGTTGTTCCCGCTGGCCCCCGAGTTGGGGGTGATGTCCAGGTGGGCCCCCTCGCTGGTGTGGGAGCGGCTGCGGGCCCCCTCGCTGGTGTGGGAGCGGCTGCGGGAGCCTTCCTGGGACGTGACGCTGGAGCCAGAGGCCGTGCGGGACCTCATCAGGCGGGTCATGCTGGCGGAGGGCACTGGGGAGACAGAAGACAGCTGGTTCCGGGGCAGGCCATGGCTGCGGGGACAGACCACACGGCCTGGCTGCCAGCCCCCATGCCTTCCGAGTCCCTTCCCGCCCCACCTCAGTCCTGCAGCGGCCCGGCCACAGGTGCCCGCTACTCTGGCCCTCAAGGGGGCTACTGAGCCCCCGATGGGAGAAGCACTGAGCCCGGACCTTGGTGTGAGGCTCAATTCTGCCACTTGCTCAAGAGCTACGTGACTTTGGGGGTGTGCCTCTCTCAGTCCCCGTGTCCCCATCTGTACAATGGGGGCGTTAACACAATCCCGAATAGGAGCGTCCGATGCCCCCTGCTGGCAGATGTCAGTGGAGCAGGGAGGATCTCTGAGTGTAGCCAGGCAGGTCCTAGCGCCTCACGGGTGAGGAAAAGGGCCCTACAGCAAGTGTTCCACAGAGATGTCAGCTGTCTGTGTCCCCCAAAGAGCCTGTGAGCTTCCCCGCACTAGCAATGGTGCTGAGCATCCTCTGAGATCTCTTCGAGACTTCAAATGTCTGGAAAGCGGGTGGTTGATGACTGGAATGACCAACTAACAACCCTTCCCACCTCTGCCGGATTGCATAGCGTCACAGTGTCAGCTCCCAGATCCATGGCCACCTGGAACCTCAGAATGTGACCTTGTTTAGAAACAGGGTCTTTGCAGAGATAATTAGTTCAGTTGAGGTTGTCCAGGATTAGGGTGATCCCTAATCACATGGCTGGCATCCTTAACAAGAAAAGAAGACAGAGATGCAGACACGGGGCAGAGGGCAGTGGGCAGATGGAGGCAGAAACTGGATGAGGCCACTACGAGGCTTGGAAGGCCGATGATTGCTGGCTCCAAGAGAGGCCAGGAAGGGGCAAGGAGAGCATCTTCCACAGCCTTCGAGGGGCACAGTCTTGCCAACACTTTGATGTTAAACTTTCAGCCCCTGAACTATCAGAGAATGATTTCCTCTTGCTTTGAACCACCTAGTTTGTGAGAGTTTATTATGGCAGTGCAATAAGACTAAAACTCCACCCAACTAAAGTAGCCTGCAAAGACTACACTGAATAACATACATCAGCTGCCAAAGCAGAGGACAGGGGTGGGTCCACAGAGGGATGGCCATGATGGATAGTCATAAGGCTGGTTTTCTATGGCAGATATTCACACACAGTACATTCCCTCCTTTTGAATCCAGAAAAAATCTACATCAATCCCACATCTGTGGCTCACATATTTTCCCTGAGTCTTTATTGCTAGACTCCAATTGGGAGTCTTGCTCCTGGCCAGGGCTACAGTGACTGTCCAGCGATGCCAGGTACACACATGGTGCCAGTCACATGGCCATCGTGGGCAGGTGATGAACGGCTGCGTTCTGTCCCTTTGGGCAATGCCTCTGGGACGCCAGCTATTCCTGCTATGTCTCCAAGACCTGTAGGATGCTTTGGCTGCTAGAAGCTAAATTGGAGCAAAAAGCCCAGGCGAAAAAGAAGCTGATTTGGGGGGAAAATCACAACTTTGTTTTTGCTCCCTTTTCCCCCAGAATACACTGTGGGAGCAGAAATCCAAACCCATGTCAGATCCAAGACAAACGAGCCACTATTCACGCCCTGCAAGGTAAACAAGGCCGGCGCAGTGCCTTTCTCTGGTTTCCACATTTGCCTGCCTCCTCCCTGTGGGAAAAGCAGGCAGCCAGGCAGCCAGGCTATGAGGAGATGTGTTCTGCTGCTGGAGGTAACCTGGGGACAGGGACCCTCCCTAGCACGGAAGTCATTTTCCCTCACTCTCGGCCTTCTAGAAGCCAACTCATCTGAGGCTGAGCTTCGGATTGCACTGGTTTGTCAAACACGCTGTTACTCTCTTACACAGGTGAAGGGCCTAAGGAAAAAATGAGATTAGAAGTTCAAGGCTTTCCTGGCTAAGACAGGCACATGAATGACGATTCTAAACATGGGCAAGAAGAACCGAGAGGGCCACTTCAGGGCCAGAACCACAGTACCATGCCACCAGCCCTGACCAGGGCCATCCTCAGCTAGGAGCTTGCACTGTATCTTGTGAGCCCTACTCGGAATGTGGCTGTATGTAGGTGACGACCCAACAGCTAAAAATAAAGCAGGGGCAGCAAGTTTTTGAATTAAGCTTTCATCTGCCCACCTGTTCCAGAACCTAATGATTTAGCAAAGACTTGGTCTCTCTTGAGTCTAAGTAGCTTTATCATCCACGTGCACAGAGCTTAGAACTTCCATGGACCACTTCTCCACTGCTTGCTTAACCTCTACAAGTCACAATTTCCTCATGTGTCAACCGAGGTCAAGAATATCTTGTAGGATTATTGTGATGGTTAAATGTGAAGAAATAAAGGATTTATCAATCCTTCACTACCACCACTGTCTGCAGAATCTTCACTGCAATGGGTAGGCTTTTAAGTAAGCATGTAATCAAAATTAGAAAGACACTGCTTGGTGTCTGTCATCTTCTTAGTGCTTAAAGGGACAGTCCTCACCTAAACCTAAAAGAATTCCAGGTGTGAAGCACTTCAATTCAACCAAATGTTGCATGTGCCACGCAATGACATTTCAGTGAAGACTGAGCGTGTGTATGCAACAGTGGTGCCATAAGATTATATGGCTTAGTGATGCCTAGTGATGCCGCAGCTGCCTAAGGTTTTTTTGAACTGGGGATCGAACTCAGGTCCTTCCGCTTGAGAGGTAGGCAGTGGAAGCACTGAGCTAAATCCCCGGCCCTGCCTAAAGTTTTGTAACTTTATCATTTCACCTAACTGTGAAACTGACTACTAGTGCATTTCTCAGATGTTTCCCACCATTCAGTCATGCACAATGGCAAACATTTCTTTCTTTGTCCTGTCCATTATTCCAGACCTAGAATCTGGCCAGTGTGATACAGAATTTTCATCCAAACCCCACTAGGGCATGGCATTTGCCTTCCCACTCCTCCCCTGCCCACCATACGCCAGGAGATGCCACACTCACTGTATCCCATGCCCTGCACGAAGTACTTGAAGGCCTCAGCGAGCTTGGCTGGCTGTGAAAGAGGGGAGAGAGAGAAAGTGTGGTCAGCAGCTGGAGGTCCAGATTGCCAAAGGCCACCTTCAGCAGGGGCTCTGGGTCACCTCTGTGCCAGAGCTTTGCTTGAGACGAACAAATGCCATGTGTTGACAGGACAAGACATAAAAGCAAAGGTAAAAGTCTGGGCTAGTTACGGGACTGACATTAGCTTTGGCCAAGGAGAAAGAGTTCAAAGTCACTTCATAGCTGTAGATACTGGGATAAGTCACATGACCATCTGAACTGGCTCCCTGGCAGCGTCACCCTAACTGCTGAATGTTTCTGGGGGCCACACCGGACTCAGCACTGTGCCCCAGGTCAGACACAGAGCCACAGCAGCATCATGAGCTGCTTGGGCCACCAAGGGTTCCACAGCTCGGCACCGTTTCATCTCCTCCCACCAAGCACTGCATGAAATTCATGCTATTGCGGGCACATGGCATAGCAGACAGAGCTGGAGAGGAAAATTATCCACCCAAGATCCTCAATAAGGGGTGGCTCCCGTAGATTCACCCCCCGGACTCCAAACCCAGAACCCATGTGCTCAGGGTAATTCACCACCAGGCTCAATGGAAGGATGGATGGATGGATGGAAGGAAGATAGATACATGGATGAAAAGAACAAAGATGGGTGGAAGGAAGAAAGGGAAAAATGAGACTATGGATAGATAGATGGCTAAAAATAAAACAGGTTCGAGAGGCAGAAAAAAGGAAGGAAAGATGGGTGAGAAAAGACAAATGAAAGGAGATAAAGATGGAAAGAAGAACAAACGGTTGGATGCTTGGGTGGACAGACAAACCAATGAATTAACTGGTTACTTTCACTGAAATGAGTGGGGAATGCTGGACCACATGTGGTGCGGGCATTTCCTCTGAAACGGCCAATTTACTGCCAGCTACGAGGGAATACTCAAGCACATCTGCAGTCTCCCGGCAATCTCGGGGCTCACATCCATTGCCCCGGGTCTCGTTCTCCTACAGTGAGGAGTCAGTAGGGGGCCCTCCCCGAGAGCCCCACCACCTCCTGCCACTAGTCTACACAGAGGCAAATGTCATCTGGCTATGAAAAGATTGTCCTCTGGGATTCACGTGACAATGGAAAAAGTGACAAGTGGGGCGTGTCAGGGCTTCAGAGAGAAGGGACAGAACCAGGAAGACAGGCTTGAGAATGGGACTCGCTGGCCCAGCGGGGCTTCCTGGGTGACTGACTGCGGGCCAACTCCCCCATACTCTAGTGTCAGTGTCCTCTTCTGTGACACTGAGATCAAATCCTGGCACTTCCTGCCTCTGAGAATAATTGCAAGGGTCTAACTTGATCAAGGGCAGGAGGGTTGTTTGCAAACACACCCCCTGAGGGGGCCCAAGGCAGGAGGGGCGGCAAACACAGGAGCAGGGCCTCCCCGGCTGGTTTCCTGGAAGCTGGGGTCAGCCCACTCCTAATCCCAGGCAGCGTGAGTGAGATCCGCTCTAATTTCAGGTAGGGAAAGGAAGCAAGGAGGTGGGACAGGGTTCGGAGGAAAAAAGACAACAAAAGCTTCATGGAGCATTCCATTCCAACACAGAACTAAATGGTAAGAAACCAGAAGAAAGGTCCGTGCGATGGGTGGATGGGGTTGCTCATGGGAGGCAACTGGAAGGTCAGTTATGACAGGTGCAGCAAACATGCTGTATCACTGACATGGTCATAGGTGTATGGCACACACAGACTCCACACATGCACACACGATTTGGTCACATATCTTCTGTGTCCCTCTGACCCCGGCTTGAAGTCCTGGGGTGGGGCCCTGGCTCCAGCAGAAGCCTGCAGTCCCTAGGGAGACCTGCAATCTGCCCCATAGTGACCAAGCTCTGTCCACTGGCACTTCCCTGAAGCCTGTGAACCCCAGGGCCACCTACTCCATAAGGGGTTCCTTTCTGGGGATCGAGTGTGTCCTGGTGTGAAAGCATATTCTATAAACCATCACCACAAGTCCACAAGCCATCATCTGCTGTCACAGGGAGCCGGTGAGGAGCGAGGCACATGCACAGAGGGCCCCTGCCAGGGAGAGGTGACAGGTGGCACTCACCTGAGAGATCTGTGGGAGGCCGCCACAGTCCGCCATCTAGGAGGGAGGGAAGCTGTTAGTGCCCAGCGCTCGGCCACAGCAACCTGCTCCGTGCCAGGTGGATCATGGCTGGGGCGCACCCCACCCCCACCCAGCAAGGCTGCTCTTGGGCATGTCAGCGTCAGACTGTCTCCTTGGCAGTCTCTGCTCAAAGCTTTCCACAATGCCAGCCCAGTGCTGGGCCCTACAGACCACCGCACACCCTTCTTCGAGAGCACATATGTGTCTCTTTTGGCAGGCAGAAACTGGGCCCAACAGGGCTGCAGTGACTTATAAGACAGTGGCCAGAATCTGTCTGACCTGCAAAGGTTCCACATAGGAGGCCCTGTCTGCTCACTCCCCGCGGAAAGCCTTCATGGGGAAACTGGTGGATTGGAGGGTTCCGGGCTGAGAGGGCTCCAGAGGGGGTGCAGCATGGCCATCCTCCAGCCCAGGGGCTCAAGGCCATATCCTGACTTCCATAAAAGAAAAGGGAAGTGAGGCACGGTGGTACACACCTGAAATCCCAGCACTCTGGGAGGCTGAGGCAGGAAGACTGCAAGTTTGAGTCCAGCCCAGGCAACTTAGTGACTCAGTGAGACCCTCTTGCAGAATAAAAATGAAAAGGGCTGGGGATGTAGTTCAGTGTAAAGGCCCTGGGTTCAATCCCCAGCACCACAAAATTAAAAAAAACAAAGAAACAAAACTGGACCCAGACCTGGAGACACAGAGGGACGCACTGCCATGAGGTGATGGAGGCGGAGACCTGAGCACTGAGGGGCTGCAGTGACTGCAGAGCCGGAACAGCGGGGCAGCAGCCCTCCCCAGAGCCTGAGGAGGACCCACGCCTGCCTGCACCCAGCTCGTGGGCTTCCGGCATCCAGCCAGGAGGGAGGGATTTCTGCTGCCTGAGCCACTAAGAGTTCGGGGCTTGGTTTCGGCAATCCCTGAAGGTCAGCAGCATGAGGGCGGAGGCCCAGCATCATCCCATCTCACAGTGGAGTGTGAGGAATCAGAAAACACTCCCAGGGCCCAGGGCATGCTGAGAGAGAGCTACCACCTCTCCCCACAGGTCCCTCCTCCCGCCCACCGCCTGCCCTCCCTGGAGGATGCCCCCTCCGGAGGGGGAAAGAACCCTGCTCTGTGCTGCATCCTGCTGGGCGGGCCTGTGGGCGGCAGTCTGGGCTGTGCAATCAGCAGAGAGCAAGTGGCCGCGCTCGAGGAGCCGGTGGGGTCACCCAGGCTGGCCACTGGCTCGGGCCGTTTGCGCTCCTGGCAGCCGGAGCCCCGTGGCGGGCACACGGGCCAGCCTGGGACACAGAGCCCCTGCCAAGCCCTCCCGGTCCAGCCCGCCCTTGCCCTGAGAGGATCACTTGTCTCTGCAGCCTCAAGCCCCGGCCAGCACCTCCATGAGCTGGCTTTGTAAACAGAGATGGAAACCCTTACTTCCACCGTCTCTGACCACCAGCTCTGCCCTCCCGGCACAGCTCCGAGTCCTCTCAGTTTGCAGAATACTCAGTTTCTGTAGACACAGACCTCTGGCCCCGTACCTTGAGCAGAGTGGTCTTCGTGGGGTCCAGTTTCGAGTTGCACTCCACCTGGACAAGGGCAGAGCTGTCAGTACCGCACGCCCGCCCTCTGCTCTGCACTGGCACTGGAAACCCCGATCTTCCCTCGGCACAGAAGAAAGAACCTGGGCTCCCGGGCCTCGCAGAGGTGGCTTTCGATCTCAAGTCTGCCATGACCCGCTGTGTGGCCTTGGACAAGTTACTTAACTTCTCTGAGCCTCAGTTTCCCTGTGAATTAAATGAGAACTGAAACTCTCTCCAAAGGTTGTTGCAAAGTCTAGCCACAAGGTGGAAGGTGAATGAACGGCCTTATTTTACCAGCTGCTGTAGGAACTGTACAGATTGAACAACTGCAGTTCCAACAATCGTTCTTCATGTTCAGTCACTCCCACCAAGGAGGTTTCTGTCGTCATTCTGCAGTGTCCCTCTTAAAAGTGGTATCCAGATTAAACAGATTTATCTGTAAGTAATCTATGATGTTCCACATGCCTAAAGTAGAACTATCACCTCCCTTGGCATGAACAGTATATCTCTATTGATGTGCCCTATGATTACCTCCAGTGAGTCACAAGGAACTCAGTTCCTTAAGACAGTACAGGTTTTTACTACATGACCATCTGCAAATTCTACTCTGTAGCCCAACCTGAGGCTCTGATCAATGGCCAGGGCCAGCGCGGCAGGTGTCACCTGCAGACTGGACAGGGAAGGCGCCCTCCATCTCCACTCACCACGGCGTCCACGGAGGGAGAGCTGTCCCCGACCACCAGCAGAGCAGGGCACCTGGGGACGACAGGGCAGAGTCAGCACCCGCTCACTCGGAGGCTCCGGCCCCTGCCAGGCTGGCCCGGACCCCAGAAGAGCTGTTCCCTGTTCCTGTCTCCCCAGCAGCCTTTGCTCCTCTCGCCGCCTGCCCCCATCTGCTCTGCTCTCAGGATAGATGGGTTGGTCCTCACTGACTCCTCAGTCTAGGTTTCAGTCAGAGGAGTTCTGGGCCCTGATGTTTTGCTTCAAAGGCCCCTCTGTCACCTGGGAAGTGTGGGCTGGACTCTGCCAGCAGGCAACATGGAGACGAGAATGGCAGGAATACAAGGGGAACAAAGCCCGCCAAATTCACAAGGGCTGCACAAAGCAGTGCTCCAGAGCCGCCTGTGACATGGGCACTGCTGGACTCTCCGCTGCTGTGTGCTCTGCTGCCTTTTCCTCCGGGTGGACAGGTTCTGTGCAGCGAAGCCTAACAGCTCCAGATGCACAGGAGCCAGGAGAGGGCTGTGGGGTGTGGGCAGCACACCTCGCCCGATCTCCAGTGCAGCCTGCCGGGGTGAGGGGAGCAACAGGCTGCGCCAACCCGAGGAGGAGATGGCCAGTTCCCAGTGCCCACCACATCCCACTGTGGGCCACGCTCAGCAGGCTCCAGGCACAGGGTGGGGAGGGCCAAGGACTCACTGCAGTGTCACGGTGTGGGCTCCAGGCATGGGCCGCTCGATCTCCAGGTCCCGGCGGCTGCAGGGGACAAGTGCATCTCAGTATCAGCACACGCTGTCCCAGGGCAGCCTCCCCTCCCGCCGCTCAGCACAGAGGTCCACTGCCGGCCATGATGGAGAGCCACCCACACCCACGGTGCTCTCAGGCTCCGGGACCCAGAGCCTCCCGCGTCCATGTCAGGGGGCAGCAGGACTCGTGCACATCCAGCAGAACCCAAATGCATTGTTACTGTCGTTGTTGCAGGGATGCAAATCGTCCCCTTTACTCCCTGGGGTTTTTTACATTGCCACTGTGTGACAAGTGCACTGCAATGGTCATTGGGCCTCCACTCTTAACCTGCGTCCAATCTCAGCGCCTCCACCATCTCCACAGCAGCCGAAGATCTCCCGAAAACTCAGACCTGAGCTCCCTCCAGCCTTGGTGCAAGTCCCCAGGGCTCCCCACTGTACAGCGTGGCCCCAGGGTGGACCACCTTCCCCTGCAGCACTACATCACCCCTCTGCTGTCTGCAAGCTCCCAACAGGAGCCACCTTTGCACACAGTCTGCAGCCAGACAAGCAGGGTTCAAATCAGCCTCCACCACTCCTGGCTTTGTGACCTTGGGGAGATCACTAAACCTCTCTGAGCCTTTGCTTCCTCAATAGGAAATGACCACAGGAGCAATAGCACCTCTGCCCAGCACTGTGCTCCGTGCCCTCCATGAGGCAGGACAGAGTGTGGGCCTGGGGGTCACTGCCCAGCCCCGGGCCGGCCTCCCTCCTGTTCTCGGGAAGCAGTCGGGAGTCAGTGAACTTCAAAGTCTGTCTCTTTGGTGACAGCAAGAACCTCAGCACCGCTGCCCTTGCTGAGATGCCACAGGACACAAGAGGAAATGGCCATCAGACTTTGTGATAAACACCAGCACGCTCAGTGATGTCACCTTATTACCATGTGAGGCCAGATGACCCCTCAGGCCTTCCTGTGCCCCTTCTGGGGAGTGTGACAGAGCTACCTCAGCAGGGGCAGGCTGATCCCAGAACCAGCGGCCCACACCAGGGTCCTCTAATCCTATCCCTTCTAAACTCAGAAGGACAGACTGGCTTCCGGGCAGCCCCAGGGACCCCTCCCTCTGCCCAGTGCTGTGCTGTTCTGCTTACTGAACTGTCCTTGCAGTCACCCAGGAGCATGCGTGCCGAGCCTCTAGCCCTGAGCCCGAGGCAGCATCTCTGGTCCACTTCTGTGCTCACGAAACACCAGGAGCCCCTGACACATAGGTGTCCTTGCCAGGCCCCGTCCTCCCAGCCTGCTGCTCCAACTCGGGGCCTGCACCTCCTCTGAGTGCCACCACCCTTGCCCCACTGGCCCCTGGTCAGAGGTACCTGTTGTAAGCATTGATGAACAGGTGCAGGTTGCCCGGGTTCATGTCGTTGAGGATGTGCTGGCGGTAGGTGTGCACCACCTCCATGTTATTCTGCATCTCCTCCTGTGGGCAGAGAGACGCTCTTCACTGTGCTGGGACCTGGCTGCACCTGGCTCTCCAGCTCCAGATGGCCCAGGTATGAGGCAAAGGCAACCAGCCATGGAGCATGAGGAAGCTTCGGGGATGGCACCATGGCAGTCAGTGGGGAGGAGGAAGACGCCTACCCAGAAGGGATGGCTCTGTCTCCTGGGCTTGGGTACAGTGTCACAAGGCCAAGGGCTGCTGGTGGACAGCCCAGCTCTACTACCACTCCTTTGGCGGGTTCATCCTTTGAACTCTCTTGAGCCTCAGGTCCTCAAACAAAGAGGGTGTTTACGGGACTTAAGAAGGCTGTGCACACAAAAATCCTTTGCAAACAGCCAAAATCAGATACAAATGCCAGCATTTATTTTTTAATGGAGGGAGCTGAAGTTTTTCATGCTTGTAAGCCAAAACCGACTCATGAAACAGGAAGTTGCTGGAAAGAGGAGACCTCAGTTCCCACAGGGCCCCCCAGGGCCTTTTTGGAGGTCGACCTCAGCCTGCCTGCTCTTTGGGGGGCTTTTCCAATGTGATTTGGGTCCAAGTTATGAGCTTGCTTTGTTTCTCCTCTGTACAGGGCAGATGCTGAAGTTTTCATACAAAGATCTGATGTGATCAGAGACAACTAGAGCAGGGGTCGGGGGAGCAAAGAGAGCAAATGTCAGATCTGAGCTCTGTCAAAGCAGCCCAGTGTCACGGTCATTAAACCAGCAAGGAGGCCAACTGGCTATTAAGAAAAAAGTTAGGAAAAGTAGTCTGAGGAATCATCCTGGGATTTCTAACCAGAACACAACTGCAGAAACTTGGGGCCACCAGAGGCCCTCACTGTCCGACCTCCCAGCCTCCAAGAACTTGAGGTACAGTCAGGTCAGACTTTCAAGGCTACGCCTGACATCTCCTTTAAGAAAATAGAAACACTGGCTCTGAACTCTCGCAAATGCCTCTCCGCTCCAGGAGATGTGCTAAGGGCAGACAAAATGCATCACAAACTGTGGAATGAACCAGAAAGGAGGAAGCAGAACTGCAGTGGGCTAAGAGTGGCCTCCAAAGGATATGTCCACATCCAGCCTGGCACTTGTGAATGTGATCTTACTTGAGAAAAGGGCTTTCTCAGATGGGATTAATTATAGATTGTGAGACATGACTCTCCTGCGTTCTCCCTGTGGGCTCTAAATCCCTGCCAAGCATCCTATGCACAGATAAGAGACAGAGTTGGGACAGATACAGGGAAGGCCATGGGAAGATGGGTCAGAGATGAGGGTGAGCAGCCACCAGCCAAGGAAAGCCGACAGCTCCCAAAAGCTGGAAGACTCAAACAGAGATTCCCCAGAGCCTGTGGAGGGCTTCCGTCATCCTAAGTCATTGTCTCTGTAACAGTGCGTCACTGCAGCCGTGGGAAAGGAATACAATGGCCACGCCCAGGGGCTGCACCTCGACAACTCCAAAGCTGAGGAGCTTGGCTGCTCTGGGACCCAGGAGGGTGCCAGACGGTCACACTCTGCAGTCCTGCAGCAGACAGTATTAAAGGCACAGAGTGAACACAGCAGCTCACTTGGTTAAGGGCAGAGATGTGAAAAGAGCCCGAGGCCGTACCGCCAGGGCTGGTCACCAGCGTGCCAGGAGAGGCCTGGCCCTGCAGCCCACGGAGGGCCCCTGTGGAGGGACAGCTCTGCAAAGCACAGCCCAACTCAGAGCCAGGTGAGAGCTGAGGCCCCAGGGCCAGGGTCTCGCAGTAGCTACCAGCTCCAGCTCGGATTGTAGGTGCGAATCCCCACCACCCTTCTCCCTGCAGTGAAGCCTCACGCAGGTCACTCCGCCTGCCTGGCCCATTTCCTCATGCAAAGGTGGGGACGAAACTAACACTTATCACAGGGCCCACAGAGCTGAGCAGGCACCGTGAGAGAGCTGTGAAGTCCTGAGCACGGCGCCCAGCGCACAGCTAAACCCAGGGAGGAGTCTGCAGCAGAGCTTGCCTGTGACTCCCCACAGCGGAGAACGCGGTCCATGAACAGGTGAACGAGAAAAGCCGTGATACACCACCCCCGGAACACTGCTCAGCTCTGAAATGGGACTCGCCGTGGCTAACACTCAACAGCACGGTGGGCTCTCAAAATAATGAGGCTGAGTAGGAGAAGCTAGACCAAAAAAAGGAGTCCCTGCTGCCTGACGTCCTTATATTCAAACTCGGAATTACACACTGGTCTACAGTGGCAGAAAGAAGATCAGAAGGTATCTGGGAAGGAGGGAGCGGAGGATTATCAAGGGGTACGGGACGCTTTGGGGGTGGTGGAGATGTCCATCATCTTGATTTTAGCGATGATTCTACCGATATACACCTATAGCAAATCTTGTCAAGATACACGCAGGGTGTTGGACTTCAATAAAAGGACCTGTGTGTCACGGGGAGGTGGAATGAACATCTTGCTGACTGTCGCAGTATGGCCCGGGTATCAGCACAGGGGCCCCTTGACTCTGTCTTGTTCACAGTCAAGCACAAGGGCCCCCACTGGGTACCCCAGTTAACCACCCGGTGTGAACGACCCAGTGCCAGGCTGGCCACTCACCTTCCCGAAGAGATGCGACACCACCATGTCCGGCAGGGCCTGGGTCCATCCAGAGATCTGCAGGAAGACAGCAGTACATGGGGAAGAGGGCCCACAGAGGGGCCAGGCTCAGCACAACCCCACTGCTCAGGGACAGAGTGGCATCCTAGGCCCCCCGCTTTCATTCTTGAGGACTCCCCTGCTGCAGTCTGCATTGGAAGGCCCCCTAAGGGCCCACATGTTGAAGGGTGGGTCCCCGCTGGGCGCTTTCTGTAGGCTGTGGAACCTTAAGAGATGGGGCCTAGGAGGAGGTCTTCAGGTCACCAGGGCCTTCAAGGGGACTGTGGGACCCCAAGCGCTTCTTCTGTTTACATTTTGCTTTCCTGCCATGAGGTCAGGGGCTTTGGGCGTCTGCTTACCATGGGCCCAGAGCAGCTCGGCCAAACCTCAGAAGGTGTGAGGCAAAATAATCCTTTTCTCTTTGAGAGTGAGGATCTCAGGTATGGGCCCCAGAGATGGAATGCTGAGGACCAGCTTCCCAGGGATCTCATTCGCGCCTCTGGACCCTATGGGACAGGCAGCCCTGGGCAGGCTGGCCTGGGTCCCTCCCTCCCAGGAGGCAACAGCAGGTGAGGCTGCCAAGGCCCAGCTTGGCCCTGGCTCACCCGGCTCCAACAGCTCCCCGGCCTTCAGCAGAGAGCCGCTACGGTGCTCTTCTAAACCCTCAGCTTCCCCAGTGCACACCCAGGGGCTGCTTAGCCCAGAGCACTCCTCATGCATCACGCCGCTCTCTCCCTTCAGCCAGTTTCCTTTCTGTGTATCTGTGGCTATCTACGGAGTTACTAAATTCATTAATGACTATCTCCCTCCCTCTCTCCCCAACAAGGCTATGTCTATAGCAAGAGCTCCACACATTCCCTAAAAGAGCTCTTTATAGCACAAGCTCCAGAAATATGTGCTGACCAACTCCGGCACCAGTGGGGGCCGCTGAGGGGAAACTCCTGGCCTAGGGCCTCAGGTAGGCCATTGACTCCACCTCCCAGCTGGGCGGCACTAGGCAGGCGGGGACATCTGGGCCTCAGACCTCTCATCCGTAACTGCAGGTGTCAAGAATCTCAGCGTCACAAGCCCACAGTGACGGTCATGAGCACAGGAGGCAGCTAAGATGCCACCATACCTGCTGCCTGCGCCTGACGCACAGGGCTCTTTCTCCGTAGCTGGGCTGGAGCGCGAGGACACAAGTGGACATAAACCCAGCAGGCCTCCGGCCCTACTCCAGCCAGGCCCAGTGTCCCCAGCCCCCATGCCTGGCTCAGAACAGCTATCCAGGAGCCAAACTGGTGACTGGAATGTCACTTCCTTGGCTGGAAAAGCAAATAAAAATGGGGAGTGTGCTCTGCTCCTGAATGTCCTCCGAGGGCAGAGGGGCTGGGCTCCCAGGTTCTGGCGGAACAGCATTGGAGCTGGGAACATGTCAAAGCTGCCACAACAGGGACCGGGAGGTGGGCGTGGTGCCCCAAACCCTCCGCCCTCGCAGCCACTTCAAAGGGAGGAAACACTTTCACGCTGAGATGCTGGATCACCCCAGCCGGAAGCGTGTCCTCCTGTTTCCATTGGAACGATGCCCAGCCCCTGGGCAAACACTGGGGCTTTGATGGGATAAAAATTAAAGTAAAAATAATAATCATTTTTAAAAGATAAACAAGGAGCCCCAGGAGCCTGGCCAGGCAGTGCCTCCTCCCAAGCAGCTAGGCAGCATCACAGCCAGGACTGAAAACATACTCACTTTCATCAGTAATGTGAGGATTCCGGAGAGACTTCCGTCTCATTTGTCTCAAAGAGTTTTATTCAACGAGATCATCGACAGTTTGAGAAGAGTCCAGCGCATGGAAGATACTCAGCAAATACTCAGGAATCTGAGTGATGCTTGGGAGGCTGGCTCAGAACTCTGTCCCTGTGACCTCGCTGGTGTGGCCCTCCCTCCACGTGCAGGGACCCCGGCCCTGGCCTCACCTTGGAAGCAGCCCAGTCCATCCAGCCTTCTGCACAAGGGTTCACATTGATGAGGACGAGGCCCTCCACCATGTCAGGGTTGTTCAGCTGGGGTTGGAGACACAGGGTCAGAGGGACAGACAGACAGGAATCTGAAGCCCTAGGAGCTTCCTGTCACAGGGAAGCTTGGGGAAGGAACAGAAAAAGGGCCAGCGTGGGGCCAGAGGGCTACCATGCTCAGGGTCATGAAGACCCTGGAACCCCACCATGCAACACTGGGGCTTCCAGAGCCTTCAAAACTGAATAGCTTCCCCAGAGAGCAGAATGAGGAAGCACTGGGGGGTGGAAAGCACCACACTCCAGAGCCCTGCCTGGGGCAAGCGCTGCCCCCGTGCCAGGCCTCAGTCTTGCCAGCTGCCCAATGTGTCCAACACCTCATTCTCTGCACAATCAGGTGGGTGCACACATCCTCTACACTGCTGGTACTTCCAGGAAACACATGGATCCCTGGGACCCAGCTGCAGCCTTTTAGTCGTCTGCTCAGAGCTGAGATGTTGGGCCGGCGTGCGCGCTCAGCATCTCTGACCTGCAGCAAGCATGGACCTGACTGAGGCGTCGGGGCACCTCAGCTGGATACAGTGAGTGCCCCGGCATTCAGGACGATGCCTGGTACGAACACAAAGGTCTCCCCGCCCCTGGCTGGGCCTCAGCGTAAGACCCATAACAACAGTGTCAGTGGACAACACGGGTTTCTGACTCACATTCAGAATCTGTTAGGGTCCAAGACCATAAAAAGCTGCAGTTGTGACAAAGCCGTCCAGGCTGAGACAGAGCACATCCAGTGCTGTACTTTAGTGAGGGCACAGCACCGTGGGCACATGTGCACAAGACACACTGGCACACCCTTGCATACTCCCGCACGGCACCGTGGGCATGTGTCACTCAGGAAATGGAACTGCAGCTCCCTGCTTTCTCTCTTGGGCTTCTAGATGCCTTTACAAGTGTCTAAATGCAATTTTCAAGAACTCACAGCAAAGCGGCTGAGGATGTAGGCGCCGGCGCCCGTGCCCATGCCCATGATGCTTTTCAGCCTGGGAAGGAAGTGAGAAGTCAGTCCCGGGAGGAAAAGGACGGTGAACCCCTACCTCGTCTTGTCCCTCAGCACCCTGGTCCCCTCGGGGTCTGCCCTGGTGCTCACTGGGCTGGCTAAGTGGAGCACGGAGCTGCTCTTGGCCTGGGCGGCCTGGGTCAATCAGGCTCTGCTGGACCAGAGACTTTGGCCTTGCAGGGGCCTGGCCTTCTGCTCACTTTCCTCACCCTGCTTTCGGGGCTCTGAGATGCCTGCCATTTACAGGAAGGCCCACGAGGCCTCACTTCTTCCCACTCCCAAGCTTTGTTTTGCATTTTAAGTCTTGGAATGAAAGCGATTGTGCCAGAACCATGAGGTGTTACTTACCTACCTAACGGGAAAGGCTCAAGTGAGGCAAAGGCAGAAGGATAGCAAGATTGAGCCCAGCCTGGGCCACTTAGCAAATCTGCAAGACCTTTTCTCAAAATAAAAAATAAAATTGGGCCAGGGATGTAATCCAGTGCAAAGGCCCTGGGTTCAATGCCCAGTACTGGGGCGGGAAGGAGGGGCACATTGGCAAACTGAGGGACTAAAGAGAGGAGCTGAGGTAGCGGCAGCTCCATTCCAGGACATTCCATGGGAAGGGAAGGGGGTTGAGGAACAACAAGCCAAAGACAGGGTGGGGAGGCTGCCAGCATGTGATGTGGCCACTCAAGAAGCAAGGCTAACCTGGGGGAGGAACAGGGGAGGGCTGGAAGGCGGAGGGAGGCGCACACTGCGGTGAGCTCCCTCTGGCCCCATCCTGAAACCCCAACCTGCCTGCCAGGGGCTAGGCCAGGTCACGGCCGGGAGGCAGGGAGGTCAGAAGCCCCCATCCTACAGGCACACACTTACCCAAACTGGCGGAGGACTCCGGGAAGCATCTCAGCCAGCTGATCCATGGAGGGGTACATGTACCTGGGAAGACATAGAGAGGCGGCCAGTGAGAGGTGGAACCCTGCCAACACAGGCAATGCGCACGGGACACCCTCCACCTGGTCCCCAGCCCGGCCCCCCATGTGTGTCGCACACAGAAACGCGAGCTTACCCCACTCTGCTGCTGCATGAGGCTGCTCCCATTCTAACCCCCTCCTTCATTCTGTAAAGTGACTTTGGATCCACTCCTGCCTCTGCTCCAAGCCCCACGGAAGAGGCCCCATGCGAGGATTAAAAGCTCATTCACATCTCACACAGACTCTGAGGCTGCTATGGCTCCCAGGACCAAGTTCATAAACATCCTGAGGCTGGGCACAAGCCTCATGGCTATGCAAGATCAGTGCATGGCTGTCTGCTCTCTGGCTGCAGGGCTGGGAAGGCAGAGGTAGTGTGGACCTGGATGCATTTCACAATCTGACCTCAGGGACAGGAAGCAGGACCCTGAATTGCATCAACATGGAAACTGTGGCCCATGCAAGGCCCAGTTCTTGGGAAGGAAAACAAGTGGCCCTGCAGATGTGGCTCCGATTAGGAACCAGCTAACAAGTCAGCAGAGATAAAGTGAGCATGACTATGATGGAGGCTAGGAAGTGACACCAGAGGGCTGAGAGGGGACACCACAAAAGGGAGACGGTTCTGCTCAAGGCATCAGGAAGGGCTTCTCGGGAGAAGTGACACTTCCAGGGAGGAAGCAGAGGAAGGGACCAGCATGTGCAAAAGCCCTGGAAAGAGCCAGAGAGAGCTGGATATTGTGACTCCCCTGAATTGAAGAGAGCCTGAGGACAGAAGGGGCCAAAAATGTCACGCTCCTTCAAAGTGGCCAGAGCTCAGGGTGCAGCTAGCAGCTCCCCAGGTGTGGTACCGGGGAGCCACCTACCTTCAGGGGCTTCTCTGCCCTCCCCATGCCCCAGGGCCAGCTGCACAGCAAAAGGGGAATCAGTTCTCTGTTGACTGGGCCTCAGGGTTGGGGGTTCCACCCTTGCAGGGCCTGGGAGAACCTCAAGCCTGACTCCAGAGGCAAGAACGAGCCAGGCCCCTTCCAGCACTGGCTCCCACCACCACACCCTGGACCACCTGGTTGGCTGAGGAGAAGCAGCCTGCATCTCGGTCTCCAGGTAAATGAACCGAAATTCCGGGGGGTGGGGTGAGCAAGGGGAACTAAGAGCCTCAGTGCCAGGTCTTTCAAACATTTAGTCCCACCCAGGACGGACTTACAGCGGGCCTCCAGGGCTCTATCTCTGGCTAACTGTTAACTGTACCCCACTGTTTTCATAAGCTCTTTACCTCTGGTTCTGGCCCCACAGGGCCCAGTGTCCCTCCCCTCCTTCACTGATAAAGGTTAATAATTAAGAATAATTCTGAAAAACTGAAAAAGGATATCTAGCTGTGAACGATTCAAGGCCTTCCTGGAAGCCTGTACACCCAGGGACAGCCGACCCGGCCTGGTCCACTGTAGCGTGGGCATGTTGGGGACATCTCTGAGGTCTGCTTCCCCAGGCAACGCTGCTGGGGGCCAAAGCTGCCCTCACCACTGCAGCATGTGGGAAATGGAGATAGCATATTGGCCACATGCTGTGAAGGCCAGGGAATAAACACCCAGGAGCAAGGCAGCCTCGTGCTCCAAAGCGACATGGTCTTAGTTAGCACGGGAAGGAGGCCAAAGCGCAACTTCCTACTTCCAGCTTCGTGCCCCTGAGCAAGGCAGTTAACCCCCGTGCCCCAGCTTCCTCATGTAGAAAATGCAGGTAGGGACAGCAGCAATCAATTAAGTGACAATGACACTGATAAACACAAATATCCCACTGTAGTAAGTGCAACAGTGGGGTTATCTCCCTCCCTCCCTCTCTTTCTTTAACTCTTGAGGTTTTCTCCTCAAAGGCCTGCTCTGCCATCGCTGCTGCCCAGGTGGAGCCCCTGAGCCAGCCGCGCCAGACATGGGCAGAAGTGTCTAACGGGCAAGTTTCAGTGGGAGATGAGGGAAGGGCCCTGGAGATGGCTACCCAGCAACGTCTGAACTCACTCAATGCCACAGCACCGTGCACTTCAGAATGGTTAAGATGCTAGACGGTATGGAGCAGTAAACTTTCCATTTTACCCTGACGAGGCAAACCTTTTCAAGTGAGCTCCATGGGTCCCCACCCCGTCTCCCCTCGCACTGGGACCCGGCTTCTCTCACCCTGCTGGGAAGGACGGAGCACCATCCTGCTGGCCCGGGGCGTCCACGTGGCACACGGCAAAGTGCTGGGTGATCTCCTGCATGTCCTCGGAGTTGAAGAGGGGGTTGTAGCAGGTTTTGTCTGGAGAACAGGCCGGGAGGGGTGAGAGCAAGAGCGAAGTTAGCCAAGAAACCAGTGGATGCTGGCTGGCTGGCCCCGCACCTTGGTTGTGATAGTGTCACTGCAATCCAGCAGGGAGGTGGGCTCCTGGCCCCCGCCCCACTTTGCTCTGGTGATAAAAGCAAGAATAAATCATGGTGGGGGAGGGGGGGCTGAGGATTTAGCTCAGTGGTTCTGCCGCCTCTCAAGCGCAAGGACCTGAGTTGGATGCCTGGTACCAAAAAAAATAAAATTAATAAATCATGGGGCCAAGGGGGTAGGATGAGGGTAGAGCTGGCCAGTGGCCTGCACTGCACAGGCAGTGACTGAGTCTTGGATTTGCCCTGGTGCTAGGACGGCTCCCAGTCTAGCTCCTGCCTCTTCCCAGCCATGTGCATGAGGTGGTCTGGCTCCACTGACACATTCTGCTTAGGTCCCCTAGGCCATCACATATGGGGCACTGGCCAGAGCACAGAAGATTTTCGAACAAGGAGAAGCATGGTAGATAAAGCATGAACCCTCTAAAGTGACATAGATGCATCTGTCACTTGTGAAGGGCCTCAGGCAAAGATGCTGGTCACCAAAACTTTCACCCTTTCCTCCTAGGCAAATCACTGGACTACATTTTCCAGGATTCCTTGTGACTAGTGGCAGTCACGTGACTGGGTTGTGATGTCACCATTTTCTCCACATATCTGCAGCCAATCCTCTACATTTCTCTCTTCTCCCATCAACCTTTTAGATACAGAGGGGCAACAGAAGCTTCTGAGGATCCTGGAAATGGCAGAAGAAGTAACTGGGTCGCTGAATCATACACTGAACATGTACCATTCATACTCACTGGATTTATAAGTGAGAAAAATCACATGCTGTGTTAAGCCACAGAGGTCTTGGGTTGGTGTTTCAATACAGCATTGAGTCTGCTCCAACTAACAACAGGCCTTTCTAAAGCAGCAGAGAGGAACCGCCTTATGTGCCTGCTTCCAGCTCCACACCAGAGTCCAGTGAAATAGGACAAAGTCTGTAAGTACCTAGCATGGGACCTGGCATGTAATGTAATGGATACGCGGGACAGACAGGCAAGATGTGAGACAAAAGAAGTGAGACTGAAAGGAAGAGGTGGTTTCCAGTCACTGACATCATCCCGTCTCAAGATATTAATAAGCTGTAGGAAAAAGATCAAGCCAAACCACCCAGTTATCCATCCTGGCAATACTCAAGTTCATAAAGAAGTGTCTAGACCCTTCCATACTCTGGATGGGCTTAACAGTAGGTGGATCTATTCCACTCCCTTTGTAAAAACCAAGGCACCTGGTAATTAAGAATTCAGCGTCTCAACATTTGCATGGCACTATTCATAATAGCCAAGAAGTGGAGAGAGTCCAAGCGCCCATCAGCTGAAGAATGGATGAACAAAGTGTGGTGCATCCTACAATGGAATAGCACTGTGCAATGGGGCTTGAGGGACTGACACAGGCTACAGCATGGGTAGAGGCTGAAAAGGTGTGAAAGAGCCAATCATAAAAGCCCACATGTTGTATGATTCCATTTCCAGAATAGACAAATCCATAGAGGCAGAAAACAGATGAGAGGTCCTCACCAAGGGCTGGGGAGTATAGAAGATTGGGGGTGACAAATAAAGGGTACAGGATTTCATTTGTGTGATGGAAATAGTCTAAAATTGCTTGTTCTGGTGGCTGCACAACTCTATGACGATACTGTACAACACTGTGTCCCAACACAGTGCATTTCTGGCTTCTCCAGGCCACAGCAAGAGTCCCCACCAGGACAGTTCCAAGGGGGACTAGCCCTTTTCAGCTGCTTTTCCCTCTGCCTCTGGGACCCGAAGCTCTAGGGAACTTACGGTTCATGCCGATGTCATGGTATGTGAGGATGACAGGCCGGTTTCCCTTGGGGGACCCACACAGGGTGACGTGCAGGGAGCCATGTAATGTCTCGATGTCCTGCTCCTGAGAAAAGACAGCACACAGAGGCCTGTCAAGTGGGCTGTAGGTGCCAACCACAGGCATCCAGCATGTTCCCAACTGTGCTTTGAGGATGCTCCAAGTACACATGGGGGCCAGAGTTTCAGACAGCAGGCCTTTCTGGCCAGAAGGGACACCCAGAAGGAGGGAAGAGAGAGGAAGTGCAGAAAGGCTCCATCAGGAGGAGGGGGAGCCCTGGATGGACGGCGCCATCACTGCATAAAGCTACAGGGCCAGAGGAGCCCCAGAGCCCCCTCTGCAAAGGACTCTGTTTCCTCCATTCACAAAGTGAGACCTTCAAGGTGTGAGCAGAAGGTAAAGCTGAAGCTTCTCTCATATCACCTAACTCACAGTTTGCTGCCCCTGTGATAGATGTCTGAGGATTCAGGGTGGCCCAGAATGCACTTCCTTTTCCAAGAAGAGCCTCCAGTTTCCTTTGTGAATCCACCCTTCTCACCCTCAGTCCTAACAGGAGTGTGAGCACTTGCCTCTCCTGCATGTTCCACAGGCTGAAGCTGGTTCCTGTATTTTACCTCCCAGTGTCAGGGCCTGAGTGCAGGGGGGCCACTTAGAGCCCACCTCACTCACTTCCAGCCACTGGGGCCAGAATGGACTTGACCTGCCAAGGTTGGGACCCAGAGTTGTATATGTGGGAGTCATTTTGTTGCTATGAGGCAAGAGCCCAGAGACAGAAAAGAGAGATAACAGGTCTTAGGGAAGGTATCTTCCAACTGAGATTTTCAGTCAACTAGTCAACCACTTCCAACCCCATATACACCATTTGGGTTAACCAAAAACATCCTAAATGACACCATATCACTCTTCCCTTCTGCCCCCCTTCAGGAGGGTTAGGTGGCTCCTCCCAAGTCAAGGCCAGTTTTCCAGCCTGTATCCTCAAGTGGGCTGACCCCCACTCCTGGTACAAAACCCCTCAGGGCTTGGCCTAAGAGCAGAGCACACATTCAGCTTTCACCCATCCTAAAAGAAATAAGTCCCCCATCTTGTTCTAACCACCTCAACTCATTCCTGGACCAATTTTTCCCTTGCCATTGTCATCTACACTGTCCAAGATGGTGATGGTCATGGGCCTTTTCCAATCAGTCACTTTTTCCACAACCTTGGGCCCAGCTGTCTTGGATTCCTGCCCACTTAGAGTTGCCCAGAAGCTTCTGAGGACCCAAGTCACAGTCTCCCTGGAGCGATCCTGTGTCTGGGAGCAGTGACTTCACTCCAAAATGCCATCTCCCAACGGGGGACACCGAGGCCTTCCTGGTGCTGTGCAATGCTGAACCACTTCTTTCCAGGCCCTTCACCCTCCCAAGAGCCCAAAAGACCATGCGACTCACTCTGGCTCAGGGCCATGAAGTTGTAGTCAGAGCCACACAGACCGGTGACACCAGTGGTGCTCCCAGACGGCTGGCCTCAGCATCCTCAGACTTCTCATCTCCTCATACAATGGGGAATCAAAAATATCAACCCACACTCACACCTCAGGGGGCCACTCAGGTTAGCTCTTGAGAGCAGATGAGGGTGGAGTGGGACAGGGAACGCACAGGTGCCAGGAAGCTGCTCCCCCAACCCAGCAGAGATTTGACCCCAAGGGTCCCTGCTGCATGGCAGGAGAGAGGAAGACCAGCGTTCATGGCCTCACATGAGAAGAGGTGGATGATGACACAGCCAGTCACCCCATCTGTAACACGGGAGCAAGCCAGTGCCTGCCTCCCTCCTGAAAATGCTGGAGACCTATGGGTACAGCAGGTGACTGCAACAGGACCCTGGCCCAATCGTCTCATCTCAGGCAGGGTGACTGGCCACACCCACAGCATCTACAAGGTTGGGGGTCAGATCCCACCTCTGCTACTTCCTACCTCTGACTCTTAAGCCAGTTCCATTTCATCCACCAAACATTTATTAGGCACCTGCTATGTGCCAGGATCTCTAATTTCTCAGAGAGATGTGTGGATAAAAACTCACAAGCCAGTGGGCAGCGGTAGGAGGCCCAAGGGGGGACAGGCTCTCTGGGAGGATTTACCCTAGTGGAGGCTAGCAGGAAGGGTCAGAAGAAGCACTCAAAATCCCATAAAGCCAGTGGCTCCCAAGTGAGAACCTGAACCAAGAGGGAGAAACATAGCCTGATTTAGTACTCTGTTTTAGCAGGAACTGGCCTTCTCCACGCCAGGCAGAGGGATGTGGGGGTCCTGGTCCTAAATCAAGAAACTCCTGAGGCATGCAAGGCCAGGGCCATGCTGCACCTCCATGGAATGGGAGAAGACCTTGGGCCCATGAAGCATCTACAGAGCAATGGTGTCAATACACGGCACAGCTCGGAGAAGACCCTCGCCCTGAGCGTGGGGTCCTCTGAGAGCCCAAAACCAAGTCGCCTGGAACACAGACCTCACCAGTCTGTCATCTCCTGCCCTCTTGCCCTCTGGGACCAACATTTCTTCCCTGCTCACAACAAGCACTGGAAAAATCCACAGCCAACTGCGCCAATGACCAGGCCCAGCCCCCAAGCCACAATGGCCCATTATGGGGCCACAATCTTCATTGTCTCCCTGGCTGGCCCACATGGCTCACTCTAAAAATAGGCCAACCCAGGCAGTGTCCCCTCTGCCCGCACACTCAGGTTCATATCCACACTCCACCCTTGCCCAGCTCCCTGGGCCTGCAGGTCCTGGCCTCTGAGCTGGAGAGAGCAGCTCCACTGGGTCCTGATGAGCAGGACTACTTCGTGAGTGTGAACAGTCCCAGCCAGGAAAGGATCCTCAGCACATCAGACAGAGATTTTTTTTTTTTTTTTTAGAGTTTTAACCTGGTGGCAGAGGCCGGACCCCTGGCCTGCCTGAACCTACAATGTCCCTGGCAGGCCTAGGAGTGGGATGTGTCGCATCTCTTTTACCAACCTCTTTGGCTGCCTTACAAAACGATATTTTTTAATTTGAGGAGCCCATGTCTCAGTCCAAAAGGAAAAACCTACGTGTGTGACTGTTCCACTCAGAGCTGCCTACACAAGCACTCAGGGCCACTGGCAAAGTCTCAGATACTCAGGGTCATGGACGTGTGATCTCCTAGGACAGCATGCTTGCCACCACCAGATTCATCCAGGTGGCTCCTCCCTGGGACATCTCTCAGGACCGGCTTATGCTCCTGACAGAGCACGTGGGAGTCATCCCTGTATTAACCCCGATGTCAACCCTGAGCAGGTCCCTGCACAAGAGCCCTTTGCCATGGCCAGCCTTACCAGGGCAAAGACTCTGGTGTCAGGAGAGGGAAGCCAAGTCGCAATGGCACACAGCTGCAGGCCTGCCCCTCATCACAAGTGGGCTGGGGTGAGGGAGAAGGTGGCTAAGCATCTCCCCAACCCAGCCAGGGTCCCTGACGCACGGCCACAAGGAATTACAGAGGCAAAGAGACCCGGACGACCTCCCCAGGCCACCGGCTCATGTAGTAGAATCAGGATATACTCCTGCCTTGAGGGGCCCTGTGCTTTTGTGCCAAGGTCTGTGGGCCCGATCAGGCCCTCTCTGAGCTCCAGGCACACGCGCATGCATGCGTACACATGTACACACACACACACACGCACATACACCCTCTAAGCCAGCTCCTGTGCTCTCTCCATTGGTGAAAGTCAGGAAGACTGTCTGAGACCGAATGGGAGAATTAACACACACACAAACACATGCCATTGTGTCCTTTGGGTCCCCAAGGAACATTCTGTCCTTCTGTGCCTGTGGGGATGAATCGCCCAGTGTCCAGGGGGAACGGGCCCTCCATATCTCAGACATTCACAAAGACAGGGGACCAGAAACCAAACGTCAGTACCACCTGGTGCTCGGCAGGTCCCTGTGCCGGACAGGGATAGTTTCCTGTATGGGGGCTCATTAGGAGACTCCCCAGCTTCTCCATCATCCAGAACTTTCTGCTCAGTCATACCTCAGCTTAGAAGCAGCCTGCAGAAGACCCTCTTCGGGTGCCTCATCCAGCCAGGGGGAGCCACAAAGACCCAGGCCATGCTGGTTCCTCTCTACCCTGTTCTGGAAAAGTCAAGAAGCTTCTCTGTCCAGGAGTAGTGATAGCCATGATGGCTGTCACGGCTGCGGTGGGAATCGTATCAGGCATCCCATTCCAAGCCCTGCCCCGAGTACCCTAAATGTGTCCTGTCATTTACTGCACAGTGACCCCTTTGGGTAACGTCCATCTGTATGGGACAGATGAGGAAGCTGAGGGTGAGAGTACTTAAGTAACCTGCCCAGGTTCACACAGCTGGGATGGTGGCGCATGGTGTGAAGCAATCCCGGATTTGGACAGTCCAGGTTCAAAGCCATCTTGTACCGTATTCCAGGGGCCACATGAAGGGGGTTAGGGAACCTTGCTACTCACGGTCACTGTGCTTCCCTAAAGGCAGACACCGCGGGTCTCATCCCCACACTTAGGCAGCTGCAGATCAATCATCTCCCCAGCAGCAGACAGGGTCACACAGACACAGAACAAAGACTAGTGCCTGCTCCCGCCATCCTGCAGAGGTGCGCCTTGGCCCCAAACTGCAGGCACGCAGGGGATGGGTGTGTCAGAAACAGAAAGGCTGCACCCCAAGCGTCACCTCTTGGAGAGGCCTTTCCTGCCACACACCACACACATGGCATGCCCCCATCCTCTTCTTTTGCTAACACACGGCAGCCACAATTAGAACTGTCTGCTTAGCAGCCTCCCCCCACAACCAGACTGCCAGTCCCCAAGAGAAAGGGGGGCTCTGTCACAGACAAGGTCTGCCTCAGAGGGGATGCTTAGGGACTGGCACAGCCTACACTGTCTACAGGCCAGCAAGTAGCAAACACGGCTCCTGACACAAGTGTCTACACTGCTTGTGACCTGGCAGGTGGAGAAATGGCAGCTACCACTACATACAATTCAAAGCTTTCATCTCTGTGGCTGCCCCTCCTGGATCAGGGGCTTTATGAACTACAGCAGATTGCTGGGTGGCCTCC